ATTGTAGGATTTTTTTTCTTTCTATTTTTGACATGGGAAATTTTATGGGGATTGCACTGAATCTATAGATTGCTTTCAGTAGTATACTGATGATGTTACTACCTTCCTTTTATCTATAAAAGTTTCTATGAGTTATTCTCAATTAAAGAACACATTAATCACCAATTTTCTAAAGATTCATATCACTCAGCAACTTCCTCCTTGACAATTTCCCTGTGATTACCAAAACAACATAAACAAAAACAAGGAAAGTCATATTGATTGGTCCCAACATTGGGGGCCCGGTGTATAAAAACCCCAGAACGGACGAAGTCCTCAGAATCTGAGAAACTCACCTCTGAACACAAACTCACCTTCTACACCTGACACCATGTGCTGCTCCCCTTGCTGCCAGTCCAGCTGCTGCGGATCCAGCTGTTGCCGGCCCAGCTGCTGCTGCCGCCCCTGCTGTGTGTCCAGCTGCTGCCAGCCTTGCTGCCGCCCATGCTGTGTGTCCAGCTGCTGCCAGCCTTGCTGCCGCCCCTGCTGTGGGTCTAGCTGCTGCTGCCGCCCCTGCTGTGTGTCCAGCTGCTGCTGTCGCCCCTGCTGTGTGTCCAGCTGCTGCCAGCCTTGCTGCCGCCCATGCTGTGGGTCCAGCTGCTGCTGCCGCCCCTGCTGTGTGTCCAGCTGCTGCCAACCTTGCTGTCGCCCATGCTGTGTGTCCAGCTGCTGCCAGCCTTGCTGCCGCCCCTGCTGTGGGTCTAGCTGCTGCTGCCGCCCCTGCTGTGTGTCCAGCTGCTGCCAGCCTTGCTGCCGCCCCTGCTGTGTGTCCAGCTGCTGCCAGCCTTGCTGCCGCCCATGCTGTGTGTCCAGCTGCTGCCAGCCTTGCTGCCGCCCCTGCTGTGTGTCCAGCTGCTGCCAGCCTTGCTGCCGCCCCTGCTGTGTGTCCAGCTGCTGCCAGCCTTGCTGCTGCTGATCATCTTGTCAGAAAACAACCATCTGAGCACAACATCTTCAGCTGACTGACTTGACATTTTGGAGACTTGATCACTTCCTAGACTTAGCAACCAGCATGCCTGACCATAATTTTCTGTGACTCATTTGCCTGATACAAGCTTCTGAGTCAGCATGATGGGGTGCACAGGATGTCCCTGATCCTCTCCCTCCCGGGTTGGTGGATCATGTGCTAGCTTCCTGCATCTTCGATATGGAGCTCTGTCTCTGCTTTGACTCTGTACTTAAGGTCTTCACCCTCTCCCTCTGTGTAACTTACAAAAACAAATTCTTATAATTTTTAAAAGGTTTTGCAACGGATAAATAATCCTCACAATTGTCTGATTTTGATCCTTGTAGTCATGCTTCTTGTAACAGGCTTTCTTTTTTTAAGATCACTTTGAACTGTATTCCTAAATGCAGGAGTCTTACCTTTGTTTCTCAATAAATTCTAAAGCACAATTCATCCATATTGTGTTTTATTTACTGCAATGAATTCCTAACATAGGGATTTAAATACATACTGCGTACTATATGCATTATCCCTTCCAAGCATCAGAACAGCCCCCACAAAAAGTATCTCTGCTTTTTTTTTGGGGGGGGGGGGAGAAACCCCGTTAATTGATTAAGGACTCATAGCTAAAACTGGACTGACTCAGATCCATGAGAGTCTTATATCCCAAGGAAGCTTCTGGTAATATTGTTACTGGGCATGCACACACTCAGCAAGTCCCCACATTCCAGATGCACTTCTCCTTGCCCTCTGCCTTTCATGCTAAGTGTCCCTCTTCCACTAGGAACTGCATTCTCTTCCTACAACTCTACTCACATAAAGTCCAAACTGACCAGGTGATCGTTCTGACCTAGACTACATCCCTGACAAAAATGTGCTCTCACAGGAGTAGAAGCTTCAGTCCAGGAAGGCCTGCAGCCGTGATGGGAATGGAAGCACAGATTCCCACGTGTCACTGGGGGTTAACGTGAGGAGATTCACTCTGACTTCTGCCCAACCCGTGTGTACTCCCATTGGAGGACATATGCAGTCTTACGCTAATGACATAACAACAGCCAGTGCATTAAGGTACAGTCCACATCCAGAAGACAATATATCAATCCTGTATGTTGTGACCTCTATGGTAGTGTCTTTGTTGCACATCTAAGAGACCACTCTAATTTTTTCTTACCAGGCCAGGCCAGCAATTTCTCTGTCATGTAATGTATGCTAGGACAATTAGATCCACAGTTACATGCCTATCATTGACCTTGTTCATCATAGAGTGGGTCCCTTGGTCCAAAGTGACGCTATTCAGGATCATATGACAATAATACTGTAAACTGGAGGAAAGCACTGCAGACAGGGAAGACAATTCTTTTTGCCAAACATGCAATCATAGTAAGGAAGGATTGCCTTTTCTGTGTGGAACTGATCCGAGGTGGAACACTTGGGTCCATTTGGGGTGGTTAGTTTTCATAAATGATGTTATCGATACCAACTCACCTCTTGTCTCGACTTCTGGCCATAGCACATGCAGCAGAGGCAGCTGTGGGGAGAGGGAACCTGCGTGGTGGGTCCACATCTGCCTCAATCCCTGCCACCATGGCTACTTTGTTCATGCCCCTGGGCAAGTACTGGTGCGCCTGAGGACCTGGACGGAGTGAATTATACCAACTTGTACTTGTCCAGAGCTTCCTAAGTGGTGGATGCTTTCTGGGGAGCATTGATGAGACACACAAAGAGGAAGCACCTTCTGCTGACACACCATCTCCACGGACACGATTCTTCTCCAAATGCCTTTATCTTCCAATCATGCTTCTTCCAGGGATGAGATAAATCAATCAGGCCTTTCACCCTTTGAAAGTAGCCAACAAACATAGTTTTCTGAGGCCATCGACCATCCCCCATACAAAATTACACACACATAAACACACACACACACACACACACACGCACACACATTGTACTAATTACAGTTCTTTTCATTGGAAATATTTCTCTTTCCACTGACTCTGCAGACCAAAAGTTTTTTGTCTGTTGCAGTAAAAATTCTCCATCTGGCATAAAAGTTGCCATTGGGGCCATCAATCATTGAAGTTTAGGTAGTCCCTGTTCATACATTATAATCAAGTAGGGTTGAAGAAGTCACATGGAATTGTGCTGAAAATGACCACCCATGTATTTTTCAGTCATTGAGATGAGCACTAGACTCTCCATGGATGTGCCTTCATTTTACCTTCATTTTAATACCTTCATTTTAATGTTTTAATTTGTAAATGGAGGTTAGTTTGCATTAACTCAAGGATTCAAAGATTGCCAAAAGAGACACTCTTAAATTATTGAGGAAGAGAAAAAAAACGATTCTCTATAAATAATAAGGGCGATGAACATATTTTTTATGTAACATCCCTTGAAAATATAAGAATTGTAGTCTCTTAAAAAGGTATTTGACTATAGACAGTCTGATCCAGTAATATAGGGGGGAAAGAGAAAGAAAACACTTCTAGATTAATCCACTGGCAGACGTATATGTAAGATGGTAGCTGAAAAATGAAGATATTAATATATTTGTAAGAGAGATCACAAAGTATATTGAGAAACAATTCATGAGTTGGTTTAAGTGTATTCTATCTTTAGCCCCAAAACATACAGCTAGTGAGTGCCAGAACAAGAATGGGGGACTCTTCCATATGAGTTTAATTCCCTTAACCAAAATATGTTGCATTCTACTTTCACAATAGAAAGCTATAAGCAAGAGTTAAATAGATGCACAATCTTGGTGGCAATTTAGTATAGAAAATGCATAAGGCAAACCAGAAGCACCTTATAGAACAGCATAGTCACAAGTAATGAGAATAATATGGCCATATACTATACAGGATAAGGATAATTCATTCCACTAAACCAGAATCCGACAACATCTAGAATATTGTGAGAAACAACTCTGAACTTCATCTTACAAATCAAGCTCCATTTTCAAGCTTAGTGACAAGGGCCTTGGGGGAAAATGCACATCATAAAATTCGTGCAGTCAACAGAGAAATGCTGTCCTTTGTCAGAAAGTATCCCACAAGGCGGGGAAACACATGCCAGAGATCAGAGTGAAGGGAATGCGATGCTGCAGCAGTCCTATCAGGGACAAGGTGTCTAATGAGAGTAGGAGCTGCTCTGCAATGCCGTCTGACTGTCTGGTCACAAGAATCCCGATGAGCAAGAGATGCAGGAGGCCCAGGAGGTAGGACGCTCAGATAAGGAAGCTGGGTCTCACAATCATCACATAAAGAGAAAGTGGCCAATTCTATATTATTTCATTCATATAAAGTTTAAGAACAGCCTTAACTCATGACCTTTGGGGATGAGTGAGCGCTATAATTTGAAGGGGATGGGGGTGAGAGTCCATCTCTCAACCACAGTGACATGGCTGTCTTCACTTTGAGATCTTTTATCACATTGAAAATGAATAACAATTTACCAAGTTGGAAACTGTACATTTGAGCACTTTTTAAGATGAATGTTAAGCCATAAAAACTTTTGAACATGTTCATACTCAAAGATACTTCAGGTATCATCTTTCCTGATCTAATTACTACATTAATGACAAAAAGAGAGACAGTGCGAAGTCAGTCACCTAAATCACTCTGGAGTAAGCAGACTAGGCATAAACTCACCAACCACTGCGACCTGCTCAGGCAGCAGGCACCCTATGGGTCGGAGGACCCACCCGATGATGAAGCAGGTCACATGCTCAAAATGTGACCATTTCTTGTTTACCCATAAAGAGGTTCCTATGAGTTATTCTCAGTTAAAAAACAGATTACGAACTTATTTGGAAGAGATTAATTACACTTAGGGAACAACTTCCTCTTTAAAATTTCCCAAGTGACTACACTGAAAGTGTAAATAAGAACAAGGAAAACCCAGCCATTGGTGCCAACATTTTGGGCCTCGGGTATAAAAGCTCCACAAAGGAAGGGGTCATCAGAATCTGAGAAACTCACCTCTGAACAAGAACTCACCCTCCACACCCGACACCATGTGCTGCTCCCCTTGCTGCCAGCCTAGCTGCTGTGGATCCAGCTGTTGTGGGTCCAGCTGTTGCCGGCCCAGCTGCTGCTGCCGCCCCTGCTGTGTGTCCAGCTGCTGCCGCCCATGCTGTGTGTCCAGCTGCTGCCGCCCATGCTGTGGGTCTAGCTGCTGCCAGTCTTGCTGCCGCCCCTGCTGTGTGAGCAGCTGCTGCCAACCTTGCTGCCAGCCTTGCTCTGGGTCTAGCTGCTGCTGCCGCCCCTGCTGTGGGTCCAGCTGCTGCCGCCCCTGCTGTGGGTCTAGCTGCTGCTGCCGCCCCTGCTGTGTGTCCAGCTGCTGCCAGCCTTGTTGCCGCCCATGCTGTGTGTCCAGCTGCTGCCGCCCCTGCTGTGGGTCCAGCTGCTGCTGCCGCCCCTGCTGTGTATCCAGCTGCTGCCAGCCTTGCTGCCGCCCATGCTGTGTGTCCAGCTGCTGCCGCCCTTGCTGCTGCTGATTGTCTTCCCCAAGAACCATCAACTGGAAATAACACCCTCTGTGAATTGACTTGCCATGTGGACAATTTCACTTCCTGGACTTCGAAGACAGCCAGCATACCACCACCACCACCATTTCTGTTATGCATCAGCCCACTCAGAGGCGTGTGGTGCAATGTAGAGGACTTCCCTCGGTTCTCTCTCTCCCATGCCATGGATCATTTGCCAGCTTCCTGCATCCTCGATATGGAGTCATGTTCTTGCTTTGATTCTCAAGTCAGAATCTCTTGCTCCTTCTAAGGAATTCATCTTCATAACTTTTTAATAGGTTTCTGCAATTGATCAATATCTTCATAATCATATATGCATAGTTTCTATCCTATTTCTTCTTTTCACAATCACTTTGTAACCTCTCCCTGGATGCAGGGAATCTTACACATTCCTTAATAAAATCGGTACCTCTTAAACCCCATATTGTGTTTTCTTTTACTGTACAGTATTCCTGACATAGGAAGTCATATAACGATTGCATACCATGTGCAGCATCACGTTAGAGCTGCAAAAAGGACCTCCATGAATTATCACCCACAGTTTCAGATGAGCAAACCTCATTGCGTGATGTCCTGTAGCTAATAATGGACAGACTGAGATCCAGGACGGGACCATCTGTTTCTACTCAAGGGCACCTGTGCTCACAGGTCAATACAAGTAGCAGTGACACTGAGTACTGAGGTCTAGTAAGAGTGTAATTACTTTTCTATCTCAAGAGCGGCAGGAGTAGTCCCTTGCATGTACAGATGATGCTGTTCACAACATTCCTCCCGTGTCAGGTACCTGCAGCCACGTGCTAGGGCAGCAGGGAAGCATCTCAGCTCTTGCGAGTGCAGGGAGCCTTTCCCGTCTCAGGCACTGTGCAGCCAATCATGCAATCCCTCTGGCCATTCACCACTTTAATATATTACGGAAAGCTCTAGCCAGAGCAATTAGTAAAAATAGGTGTGTGTTTTTTTAAACAAAAACACCCAAATTGGGCATGAGGAAGTAAAACTGACTCTATTTGCAGTTGAAGTAATATTACATATATTTTTTAAAATTTAAAGATGACTCAGAAAACTTTTAGAACTAATCAATAAATTCGGAAAGTTTCAGGTTACAAATCAGTATGTGTCTTTATATACTAGCAATAAATTACCAGAAAGAGGAATTAAGATCATTTCATTTATATTTTCATAAAATGAATAAAATAACTAGTAATAAATATAACCAAGAATGTGAAAGACTTTTGCCCTGAAAACTAAGAATATATATGAAAGAAACTGAAGACCACACAGACAATTGAAAATATATTTTATGCTCGTGGATTGGAAGAATTAATATTGTTAAAAGTCCAAACTACTCAAAACAATATTCAGATCCAGTACGATCCATATTAAAATTGCAATGGCGTTTTTCACAGAAATAAAAAAATATTAAAATGTATATGTAATCCCAAATAGCTCTGACTATCCAAAGTATTCCTGACAAACAAAAGCTGGAGGTATCTTGCTCCCTGATTTCAAACTATATTGCACATTTATAGTAATCAAAACAGTATTGTACTAGCATAAAAATAGACACATATGAATGGAACAAAATACAAGGCCTAGAAATAAACCCTCATGTAATGGTTAATATATTTATGACAAAGAAGCCAAGAATACAAAATGAAAAGGGACAGTCTTTTCAATAAATGGTGTTGAAATAAAACTAGGTACTCACAATGCAAAAGAGTGTTACTGAATCACTTTCTTATAGCATACACATAAATTAACTCAAAATGGATTAAAAAGTAGAATGTAAGACAGGAAACCACAGAATTCCAATGTTTTGGGGGTTTTTTTGTTTTGTTTTTTTTTTTTTTTTTTTTTTTTGTGTGTGTGTGTGTGTTGGTTTTTTTGGATATGACACCAAAAGTAAAGACAGCAAAATAAACAAGTGGAACTACATCAAACTAAAAAGTATCTGCATAGCAAAGAAAACCATCAACAAAATGAAAAGACAAACTACTGAGAGAAAATATTTCAAATCATACATCTAATAAGGATTAATATACAAAATACATATAGAACTCATAAAACTCCATAGCAAAATGAAGACAAAACTTCCAAACCCACAAAACATTAATTTAAAAATAGACAGAGGATCTGAGTAAATATATTGTGAAGAAAGACATACAGATGGCCAAGAGGTACACAAAAAGGTGCTCCACATCACTAATATCAGGGAAATTCAAATCCAAACCACAATGAGATATCACTTCATAACTCTTACAAGGATAATAAACAAGAAGACAAGATCTCACAAGTGTTGGTGAGGATGTGGAAACATCCTTGTGCACTGTTGGTAGAAATTTAAATTTGGTAAATTGGCATAGCCACTGTGGAAAATAGTATGAATGTTCCTCAAAAATTAAAAATAGAACTGTCTAATGACTCAGCAATGCCATTTCTGGATATTTATCTGAAAAAAAGCCCCACTAACATGAAAAGATATGTGCATCAATAATGTTCATCACAGCATTATTTATAATACCCAAGATATGAACACAACCTGCATATCCATCACACACACCCTACCCCCCGAATATTATTCAGACATAAAAAAAGAAGTACATCTTTTCATCTATCACAACATAGACCTAGAAGGCATTATGCTAAGTAAGATGAATCAGATACAAACAAATAACATATGACCTCTCTTATATCTAGAATCTAGGGGAAAAAACCAACAACATTGGTGGTAGCCAGTGGTGGGGATTGCAGGTTGGGCAAGATGGGTGAAGGGGGTCAAAAGATATAAACTTCCAGTTATAAAAGAAATAAGTCATGGGAATGTAATGTACAGCATGATGAAGACATTTAAAAATACTGTATCGCATATTTGAAAGTTGCTAAAAGAGTGGATTTTTTAATATTTTTTTATTATTATTTCAGAGATGAAAAAAGAGTAAGAGAGAGACAGAAACATCCACTATGAGAGAGAATCATCAATTGGCTGCCTCCTGTACCTCTCCACCCACTGGGGATTAAACCTGCAACCCGGGCATATGCTCTGACCAGGAGTCAAACTGTGACCTCCTGGTTCATGTGTCCACATTCAACCACTGAACCATACTGGCTTGAAAAGAGAGTAGATTTTAAATGTTTTTATCACAAGAAAATTAGTAACTATGTATGCTGGAAAACGTTCACTAGACTGATTGTACTGATCATTTTGCAAATATCAATTCATAATGTTCTACACCTAAAAGTAATAAAATTTGTCAAGTATACCTTCAATAATAAAGAGGTAATATGCAAATTGACCCTCATACCCTCACACAAGATGGCTATCCCCATGTGGTCAAAGATGGCCACCACAAAATGGCTGGCAGGGGAGGGTAGTTGTGGGTAATCAGGCCATCAGGGGAGGGCAGTTAGGGGTGGCCAGGCCAGCAGGGGAGGGCAGTTGGGGGCAACCAAGCCTGCAAGGGAGGGAGGGCAGTTAAGGGGTCCCAGACTGAAGAGGATATAGGCTGGGTTGAGGGACACGCACCCCAGTGTACAAATTTCACACACTGGGCCTCTAGTACCTTGATAAAAAATAAGTTGAGATACATACAAGTAGTACTCAGAAGGCTCAAACTATCAGAAAGAGCAGGAGACAGTGTTGATAGTGAAATGTAGAAATACGGTCCTAGTCTTCCTACCCTGTTGATTGTGCTTTTTCTATAACAAGGCAATTCACTCTGGCATATGTACCTATAAGAGAGAAAATGGGACAGAAACACATTCCAAAATGCATCTGATAACTTTCTACATTTGTTGAAAAGTATAAATATACATACTCAAATTTCCCTTAGCCATCGTTTTATCTCCTTTTTCATCTAAAATTATGAAAGAAGGTATTTGCAACTTGAAAGGTGTCACCTGAGAACCTGATTCAGCTAGAAAACAAAAATGCAGCATGAACGGCTTCATGCTCTGCCTCTATTCTCCTGTTTGGGTGCTGATTTGCATATGAAAAACAGTGGGCCAAGGACCCAAGAATCTCTGGCAGAACTGAAAAATACATTTCTAGTAGGAGGCCTCAGACACATACAGGCTGGAGTTTTGAATCTACTTTTCTGGAAGATCAGACTTATACTCAAGAGGGCTTCATGAATCACAAAACCCATCAACTCCTGAAAACTCGAGGTACCTCCCAACCTAAATATTGCCAAAGGAACAACACTGAGAAGAGACCACTATCCTGACCTTTTTAAAACCAGCAGGAAGTAATACAAGACCAGATGATGTCACATGACCAGAAATATGGCTAGGGATGACTCCTGATTGTCCCATTTCTGGAAAAGATTCCTAATTAGTATTCCCAATTAAGAATAAGATCAAACGGTAATTGACAGAACCCTCAAATGCAAGGGGAACAACTTCCTTGACAATTTCCTTGTGACTATAAACAAGGAAACAATAATAAGTAGGAAAGTCCTGCTTATTGGTCCCAACATTGGGGGTCCAGAGTATAAAAGCCCCCAAAGAGAAGACACCATCAGAATCTGAGAAACTCACCTCTGAACACAAACCCACCCTCCACACTTGCCACCATGTGCTGCTCCCCTTGCTGCCTGCCTTGCTGCTACAGGACCACCTGCAGAACCACCTGCTGGAGGCCCGCCTGCTGTGGGTCCAGCTGCTGTGGGTCCTGCTGCTGCCAGCCTTGCTGCTGTAGCACTCCCTGCTGCCAGCCTTGCTGCCGCCCTTGCTGCGTGTCCAGCTGCTGCCAGCCTTGCTGCCGCCCTTGCTGTGGGTCCAGCTGCTGCCAGCCCAGCTGCTGTGGGTCCAGCTGTGGCGGGTCCTGCTGCTGCTCTCCTTGCTGCCAGCAGGTTTGCTGCTGCCCCGTGCATGTCTGCAGAACCTGCTACCACCCCACCTGCTGCTGCGTGCCCGGCTGCATAAGGTATGGCTGTGGATCCAGCTGCTGCCAACCTTGCTGCTGCTGAGCACCTTGCCAGGCAGCCATCATCTGCACACTTAATATCTGGGAACTGACTTACCATTATGGAAACAAAATGGACCTTTGGACTTTGTTGACAACCAGAATGCGGGACCATAATTTCTGTGACTCATCTGCCTGTTTAAAGAGTCAGTTGAATGGAGTGCAGAGGACGTCCCTCAGTTCTCTTCTTCCCATGTATGTGGATCTTGCCCCAGCTTTGTGCATCAATATGCAGTCATGATCTTGGCTTTGATTCTGAAGTCAGGACCAATGGCTCCCTCTAAATAACTTAGTCAACTATTAATTAAATATGAAGATTAATAGATGATTCTTCTTTATGTATTTCTTAATAAAGTCTATACCATAAGCCATCCATATTGTGTGTGATTTATTGTACAGCATCCCTGATTTAAGTACATATTGCATACTATATGCAACATTCATTTTGAGCATCATAACAGCCTCCACAATTATTATCTACAATTTCAGAAAAAGATCATATACTACTACATATATGTCAACCTAACAATGGTTATTGGGTCAAAATATATACCACACATTTAAAAGGCAAGACATCAATCCTACAGGTTGTCACTCTATGGTGGTGTCTTTACTGCACACCTAGAATACTATTACAATTTTTTAATCAGGCCAGTAATTTCTCTGTCATGTGATGTATGGTAGGACAACTACTAGTAGATCCATGTTTATTTAGCTTATTGTTGACCTTGTTCTGTATAAAGTGGGTCCCTGAATCAAAAATGTTGCTGTCCAATATAGTGTAATCTGCTAGATAGGACTGAAGACAAGGAAGCTAATTCCACACGCCAAACATGCAATCATAGAAAGGAAGAACTGCTGTCTTTTCAATGTGAAAGTGGTACAAGTAGAACATTGGCTCTGTGTGGGTGATTAGTTTTCAATATGGATATTACAGATAAGGATTCAACACCATTCTCTGCTTCTGACAACAGCACATAGAGCAGAGGAGCCGCAGGGAGAGGAAGTCCTTGTTATTGGTCCACACAAAGCCTCTGTCCCTTCCTCCAAGGCTGTTTGGCTCATGCTCCCTGTGCAAGTGTTGGTGCACCTGAGAATGGACATAGGCTGAGCTGTATCAAACTCATAGTTGTCTAGTGTCTCCTAAATGATAGATACTCTCTGGGGGGTTGGGCATTGAGGTGGGACAGAATGTGGAAACACGTTCTGTCCACAGACCATCTCCCTCTTCATGATTCTTCTCCAAACGCCTATAAGTCTAACATTGCTCCTTCCAGAATTCAGACAATCAGTCAAGCCTTTCACCACTTGCAAATAGCCATTTATATCATTCCATCAGGTTGGGGTTTTTTGTTTGTTTGTTTGTTTGTTTGTTTTTTGCAAAAAAATCACACATATATAAATAATACTCAATGTACTATTCAAAGTTCTTTTCATTGGAAATATTTCTTCTGTCCACTGACTTTAAAACCAGAAGTCATTTATTTTTTGTCATAAAAACTCCATTGGACATAAATTCTGTTATTTTACAGAGGTAAAAGAAAGCCATAGTTTGCATTCTCAAAGAAAAAATAACCTAAGAAAAGATTCAAGTGACCATAGGGATGCACAGATCATATTGGCAGAAAGTTGAGAAAAGGATGAGGCAGATTTGTGTACAAAGCCAGTATCAAGTTTACTACAGAAGTGCAAACTTGAGGGAAAAGTCTCAAAATGATGGAAAACACATACTTTGGAATTGTCCTACTTGACAAATGAAGGGGCCAGAGTCTTTATAAAAAGATCTCCAGAATTACTGGGTGAATGTCTTTGTTAGGTGACATGCACTGACGTCATGACTTTCTGCTTTAGCATGAATAGAACCCTAAGACATAAAAGTGATCATCTGGTGGGAGGAAATTGGTCTGAGCACACTAAGACTCAAAATATGTACAAGTCAATTTGGAGAGCTATATATAACAAATGACTAATTAGTGGGTTGCTCAAACAATAACATGTATTTCTCGAAGTTCTGCAGGTTGGGATATCCAAGATCAAGGTGCTAGTAGGATGTGTCCACTCAGGTGGACCTACTTCCTAATTTGCTAATGTCTGCTTTATTTCTGTATCCTCCAATGAAACACACACTCACACACACACACACACACACACACACACACACACACACACACACACGGGGAGACAGGGAAGATTCTGGTCTCTTTTTGTTAGGATCAGCACTAATCCTATCATGGGGGACTTGCCCTCATCTCTTCAGCCAAATCTAATTACCTCTCATAGAGACCTCCTCCAAATGCCATTATATTGGATACTAGGGATTCAACATATGAATTTTGAGAGGAAACAAACATTCAGGCTGTAAAAGTGAGGCAATTAGAAACATCATCTGCAATCTCCCCTTGATAATCTCAACCTTCCTCTGCTTCTTCAAATTGTGAACATCCACAATTTCTAGATTGAGAAGAATAATTAGAAAAGGATAAAGAGGAAGAGAATTTTATACCCCACAAAACTACAAAAAGAAGAAATAAGGAAGATCAAAGTTAGTAGATAAAGAAAATAACAAAGACAAGAGCTGAATAAAATAATAGACTAAGAAGACAATAAAAAGAATCAATGAAACCAAGAGCTTGATATTTTGTAAAGAAGGAAAATTGATAAACCTTTAGTTATACCCACTAAGAAAACTAGTAATAACACTCAAATAAACAAAATCAGAAATGAAAGAAACAACTAATATCACAGAAAACCTAATATCAAAAATCATTTGTAAAGAAATTGAAAATCCAAGCAGTCATTTCTATATAATAAAGAGCTTAGACCAAACAGCAAAATGACCACCTGGACACCCTTCCAGATGACTTTCTGGACAAAGCCAGGGCTGGAAGGGCTGGCCAAGGCAGCCGGGGCTGAGAGGGCCAAGCCCCTTGCATGAATTCTGTGCATCAGGCCTCTAATATTAATAATAAATGACTCCATAATGTAAAACCTTCCACAAACAAAAGTCTACAAGCAGATGGCTTCACTAGTGAATTCCACCAATCATTTAAAGTAGAATTAATACCAAACTCTTCCAAATAACAGAAGAGGAAAGAACAACTTCCAATCCCATTTATAAGGCCAGCATTACCATGATACTAAAACCAGACAAGGACAATGAAGAAAGAAAATTATATGTCAATATCCCCAATGAGCATAGATGGAAAATCCTCAACAAAATATTAACAAAAAGAGTCCAACGAAAGTTTGAAAGACTCATACACCATGATTGAGTGAAACTGATTTCAGGGATGCAAGGGTGGTACAACATCTGCAAATCAATGTGACACACCACATTAACAAAGTGAAGGATAAAAATAATATGATTGTCTCAATAGAGGCGGAAAAAGCATTAGCCAAAATTCAATACCTATTTATTTTAAAACTATCAACAAAGAAAGCATATAGGGAACATACCTCAACATAATAGAGGCCATATATGATAAGTCCATAACTAACTTCAAACTCAATTGTGGAAAGCTTTTTATTTAAGACTAGAGGCCCAGTGCATGAATTCATGCATGGGTGGGGTCCATCGGCCTGGCATGCAATTGGGGCCAACTGGGGATATAGGAGGTTGGCCAGGAGGAGGGGCCATGGAAGGTTGGCCGGCAGCAGGAGGTTAGCTGTGGGAGTACACTGATCACCAGGGGGCAGCTCCTGCATTGAGAGTAGCCCCTGGTGGTCAGTGTGTGCATCATAGAAACCGGTTAATTGGTTGTTTGGTCATTTAGGCTTTTAGATAGATAGAATAGATAGATAGATAGATAGATAGATAGATAGATAGATAGATAGATAGATAGATAGATAGATGGATGGATCTAGCACAAGACAAGAATGCCCACTCTTAATTAGCATAGTATTTTACTCAACATAATATTGAACCTTTATTCAACATAATATTATTGCGAGTCCTAGCCAAAGCAATTAGCAAGAAAAAAAAAGGTATCCAAGTCAGTAAAGAAGAGGTAAAACTAACTCTATTTGTAGACTATGTAATATATAATGAGAGAAAAACATAAAGACTCCACCAAAAAACTGTTAGAACTAATCAATAAATTTTTAAAAATTGCAGTCTAGCCAAAACCGGTTTGGCTCAGTGGTAGAGCATTGGTCTGTGGACTGAAAGGTCCCAGGTTCGATTCCGGTCAGAGGCATGTACGTTGGTTGTGGGCACATCCCTGGTAGAGGGTGTGCAAGAGGCAGCTGGTCAACGTTTCTCTCTCATCAATGTTTCTAGCTCTCTATCCCTCTCCCTTCCTCTCTGTAGAAAATCAATAAAATATATATTTTTTTAATTTAAAAATTGCAGTCTATACAGTTCATATATAAAATGCTGAATTTCCAGACCTTAATAAATTATCAGAAAGAGAAATTTAGATAATAATTCCATTTACAATGGCATCAAAATAAAAATATATAGAAATAAATTTAACCAAAGGGGTAAAAGACCTGTGCCTGCCACTAAAATACATAAATGAAAGAAATTGGAGAAGATACAAAAATGGAAGAATATCTGTGCTCGTGGAATGGAAAAATTAATATTAATGCCCACAATGCTCAAAGCAATCTAAAATTCAATGCAATTAGTATTAAAATTATAATGGCATTTTTTCACAAAAATGGGGGGGGGGAATCCTAAAATTTATATGGAACTAAAAAAAAAAATCTGAATAGCCAAAACAACCTTGAGAAAGAAGAGCAAAGCTATAGGCATCATTCTTCCTGGTTTCAAACTATATTTCAAACCTATAGTAATCAAAATAGTAAGTTATTGGCATAAAAACATGCCCACATATCAATGGAGCAGAATACAGAGCCTAGAAATAAATCCGCCTATATATGGTCAGTATCTTTATGACAAAGGACCCAAGAGTATAATATATTGGGGAATGCACAGTCTTCTCAATAAATGGTGTTGGGAAAACTGACAAATATTAACTAGGCTTACTGTGGTGATCATTCGTAATATATACAAACATGAATCATCACGTCCCACTCCTGAAGTTAATGTTTTATGTCAATTTCTAGTAGGTGGCCACAGGCAAATAATGCTAGAGTTCTCGATCCGGATTCTGGGAGATCAGACTTAGGCACAAGCAGGGCTCCATTCATAGAGAACTCACTAGCTCCTGGCATCTCAGGACACTTCCCCCTATTAACAAGGCCAACGCTGTAAGGATGAGAAGAGACAACAGTTTTGACCTTCACCAAACAATCAGGAAAGACCACAGATCACATGATGTCACATGACTAGAGATGTTCCTGAGGATGATTCCTGTTTCATTTCTGGAAAGGGCTGTAAATTAGGATTCACAATTAAAGAAAAGATCAAACAGTTACTTACATAAGCCTCAACACACTCGGGGAACAACTTCCTCCTTGACAATTCCAGAGTAATTACCAAAACAACAAAGAGGAAAGTCCTGCTTATTGGTCCCAACATTGGGGGTCCAGAGTATAAAAGCCCCCAAAGAGAAGACACCATCAGAATCTGAGAAACTCACCTCTGAACACAAACCCACCCTCCACACCTGCCACCATGTGCTGCTCCCCTTGCTGCCTGCCTTGCTGCTACAGGACCACCTGCAGAACCACCTGCTGGAGGCCCGCCTGCTGTGGGTCCAGCTGCTGTGGGTCCTGCTGCTGCCAGCCTTGCTGCTGTAGCACTCCCTGCTGCCAGCCTTGCTGCCGCCCTTGCTGTGGGTCCAGCTGCTGCCAGCCCAGCTGCTGTGGGTCCAGCTGTGGCGGGTCCTGCTGCTGCTCTCCCTGCTGCCAGCAGGTTTGCTGCTGCCCCGTGCATGTCTGCAGAACCTGCTACCACCCCACCTGCTGCTGCGTGCCCGGCTGCATAAGGTATGGCTGTGGATCCTGCTGCTGCCAACCTTGCTGCTGCTAAGCACCTTGCCAGACAGCCACCATCTGCACACATAACATCTGAGAACTGACTTGCCATTATGGAAACAAAATGGACCTCCTGGACTTTGTTGACAACCAGCATGTGGGACCATAATTTCTGTGACTCATCTGCCTGTTTAAAGAGTCAGCTGGATGGAGTGCAGAGGACCTCCCTCAGTTCTCTTGCTCCAAGGTATGTGGATCTTGCCCCAGCTTTGTGCGTCCTCAATATGCAGTCATGATCTTGGCTTTGATTCTGAAGTCAGGACCAATGGCTCCCTCTAAACAACTTAGTCAAACAAATCTTCATATCTTATTTACAGGTTTCTGTAACTGAATAATAACCCTCATCATTGCAATTCCTTACAATGTAATCATGATTCTTGTATAAGACTTTCTTTCTTCAGGATCACATTGAATTGTCTTACTACATGTGGGACTCTTCTCCATGTGTTTCTTAATAAAGTCTATACCATAAGCCATCCATATTGTGTGTATTTATTGTACAGCATTCCTGATTTGAATACTTACTGCATACTTTATGCATCATTCATTTTGAGCACAACAGCTCCCACAATTATTATCTACAATTTCAGAAAAAAACAAAACAAATTCATGGCATAATGTCACAAGCTAATAATAATGACCAGACTCAGTTCCAAAACTGGGTCTTCTGTTACTGCTTAAGACATCGGCATTTATATGTCAAAGATATAGAGGTTGGAGCCTCTGGTTACTGCACTGTTGGCAAGCTGTGGTGTTGTCATTGCTCAGATAAGCTTGTCAGTAAGCCTACACACACCATGAGACACTCCAATACATTCCCACATTCCTGATGTATTTCTCCCTGCTCTCTACTGGAACATCTTTATGGTAATGATCACTCACCAAATAGTAACTGCTTGCTACTCTACTGATAGGAAAATTCCAAACTCACCAGATGATAGTTATAAAGTTACATGATATTACTTGACAAAAAAAAAATGCTTTCTTAGGCATAAAACTACGAATCGAGAAGAAACTAAAGGCATGATGGGATAGGAAGCCCCAATTCCCAAGCATGTTACAGGGTATTCACAGGAGAGGGTCACCTTTAATTTCACCCATTATTTCTAAATCCATGGATACTAACTTTCATAAATACATATAGTACTACATATATGTCAAGCAAATAATGGTCACTGGACAAAATATATGCCACATTTAGAAGACAATATATCAATCCCCCAGGTTGTCATCTCTATAGTGGTATTCTTGCTGCACATCTAAAATATCATGCTCATTTTTATCAGTCCAGCGATTTCTCTGTCATCGATATATAGTAGAGCAAGTAGATCCAGGGGGCAAGTAGATCTATGATTATATGCCTACTATTGATTTTGTTCATCATAAAGTGGGTCCATTGTTCCAAATTATTGCTATCCAGCATCCTACAACAATAGACTGTAAGTTCATGGGTAGCACTGCAGACAAAGAAGAAAATTCCACACACCAAACTCAAAACCATCGAAAGAAAGAATCACTGTTTTCAATGTGGAAGTGGTACAAGTAGAACATTGGCTCTATGTAGGTGATTACGTTCAAGGTGGATATTACAGATAAGGTTTCAACACCATTCTCTGCTTATGACAAGAGCACATAGAGCAGAGGAGTTATGAGGAGAGGAAGTCCTTGCTGTTGGTCCACACAAATCCTTCATCCCTTCCTCCATGGCTACTTTGCTCATGCTCCAAGTGCAAGAGTTGGTGTACCTGAGAAGGACATAGGCTGAGTTGTATCAAACTCATAGTTGTCCAGTGTCTCATTAATGGTAGATACTCTCTGGGGGTTGGGCCCATATACCATCCCCATCTACATGATTCTTTTCCAAATGCCTATAGTCAGCCCAACTTTGGTCCTTCCAAGACTATGAGCAGTCAGTCAAGGCTTTCACCACTGACAAATAGTCAATTAACATAGTTCCCTCGAGCCACTTTTTAAATCCACAGTTACATACACATATAAATAATGCTCAATGTACTCCTCACAGTTGTTTTAACTGGAAATATTTCCTCTGTCGACTGTCTTTGAAACTACATCTCTTGCCATAAAAACTCCATTGGGCATAAATTCTACTATTTGGGTTACCAATTAATGAATTTTAAGGTATTCTATGTCCATATATTATAATAATTTTATGTTTTGGGGGAATTAAATGGAATTGTGCTAAAAAAAAAAGTATCATCCTGTGTTCATTAGCCATGGACATCACTGCTACACCATGATCTTCTCCCTGACTTGGGAGAAGCCTTACCATAACTCCTGGTTTGGGATGTTCATAATTTGTAACATTGAGGTCAGTCGTACTAAGTCAGAGATAGAGAGATAAGCAAGAGAGAGATAAATCTTAGATTATTAAGAGAAAAGAAAAGGAAAATTTACTATTCTCTACCAAAAGTAAGGGTAATGAATTGATTTGTTTTTGTCATGTCTGTGGAAAATATAAGAATGATGCTATCTCCAAGAAAGTATCTGCCAGCAGACTGGCTGCCCCAGTAAAAGAAAGGAAAATAGAGGAAGAAACACTTCCAGATTATTCCATGGGGTGGTCATAATATGTAAGATGGTAGCTGAAAAATAAAAAATATACCTTTGTAAAGGATGATCATACAGTACATATAGGAAACAATTCATGAGTTGGTATAAAGAATACATTATATTTGCCCTAACGGTAAAGCTAGAACAGTAAAGAATCTGAAACTCTTTCATATGATTTAAACCTCATAACCAAAATCAACTGTACTTTCTTCCACAATAGAGAACTCATGGTTTAAGATAAAATCAGAGATAAACAGAAAATGGATAACTGAAACTAGAAGCATCTTACAAAATCAGCACAGATGCAAGTAGTAAGAATAGAAGTAAATGTCCATACATGTCAGGATCTTATTATATTCCACCCAACCAGAATCGAAAAACAACTAGAATATTAAGAGACACTACTCTTAACAATTTCTTCACAATAAGTATCTAATTGGCAATGTCAATTTCATGGTCCTTGAGAAAAATCGAGTTTCATAAAATTCATGTAATCAATAGGATATGCTGTCCTTCATCAGAAGTGCATCCCATGAGGTGGGGAAACACATGGCAGAAATAGAGTGAAGGGAATGCGATGCTGCAGCAGGCCTATCAGGGGACAAGGTGTCTAATGAGAGAAGCAGCTACTCTGTAATGCTATCTGACTGTCTGGTCACAAGGATCCTGATGAACAAGAGATGCAGGAGGTCCAGGAGGGTAGACACTCAGATAAGGAAGCTCTGTTATGGGCTATGCTGTGGGTAGGAACTCACGTCACTGCAGGTATCAAGCATCAACTAAATAACCAGTTGGTAGATACTGGGATATTGTATCTTTGATTTGCACTCTCTATGAGCAAATTCAATAGGGGATTCTAGGGATCCTTTCCATTACCGAGTCTGTCTAAAGTCCCTAAATTCTCTCTCTTGTCCAATCACTGTCAGTGATTGCTTGCTGACATTGCTGTCATTCTTAGAAGTCCACAAACATTCAAAAGCATCACACTGAAATAAATACATGGCACAGGGTGCCATAACATTTTTATGCATTCATCTGGGAGAACAAGAAGCTCTCTTCCAAAACTCTTTCAAGTCGATTTTCAGAATTGTGACACATCTATGAGGGGCTGGATTGGAATTTTGCGGTCTCAGATATCTGATCTCAATCACACACAAGGATGAGTCACTACCTGAGGCCCAACAACTTTATTGATCCTCATAAACTAATACGCCAATTATTAGCCATAATTATAAATGTAATAACTGTAGTTTTTATACTCTATTTGGCCAGTTGTTTCTCACCACACAAATGCCTACCGGAGTAGTCAAATTATAATAGGAGGATTAGTTTCTGAGCAAAGAATCAGAGGAAATAATTTAGAAGAACAAAATGTTTAGTGGCGTCGCCTGCATTCATGTCAAACACATGCTCTAGCCTCAGGAACTGGAAGGCTCAGGTGTAATGTCCCTCTCCTCTGTGTGGTGCAGCTGTGCACTGCCCACCTCTGCCCATGTGCCTCTCCTGACTCTGAACTTCCAGGGTTCACTGCCACACGCCCATTTGAGAAACCACATTCATTTGTACACGTTCTCAACCTGGGTAGTGAATAATCTACTTGTCTTGATATAATTCCTCCTATTTAAAGTGCCTGCATAAATTGGTTCTACTCCTGTTTGTACCTTTATATTCAGCTTGAGAAGGGCAATCCTATCCTGTGTGGATGATATAACTGTGCATGTAAAATGTTCACACACACAAAAAAAAATCTATCAATAAGCTATCCTATATAATAAAAGGCTAACATGCAAATCAATGGAACAGCAGAATGGCTGGCAGCTATGACATGCATTGGCCACCAGGGGGCAGACGCTCAATGCAGGAGCTGTCCATTGTAGTCAGTGTGCTCCCACACTGGAGTACCTACCACTCAGCCAAAAGTGGGACTCATGGCTGGTGAATGCAGAGGTGGTGAGAGCTGCTCCCGCCTCCATGTCAGCACGGACAGCAGTCAGTTGGACATCTCCCGAGGGCTTCCAGAAGTGGGCAGTGCACAGTTGCACCACATTTAGAAGACAATATACCCATCCCCTGGGTTGTCAACTCTATGGTGGTATCTTTGCTGCACATCTAAAACACCAGGCTCGTTTTTTGTCAGTCCAGCAATTTATCTCCCATGTGATGTATGGCAGGACAAGTAGATCCATAGGACAAGTAGATCTATGCTTATATGCCTATTGAAGACCTTGTTCATCACAAAGTGGGCCCCTTGGTCCAAAATGTTGTTATCCAGCATCCTACGACAATAGACTGTAAGCTTGTGGGTAGCCCTGCAGACAAAGAAGATAATTCCACACACCAAACTCGCAACCATAGAAAGGAAGAACCGCTGTGTTTTCAACGTGGAGGTGGTACAAGTAGAACATTGGCTCTGTGTAGGTGATTTACTTTCAAGATGGATATTATAGATAAGGTTTCAAAACCATTCTTGCTTATGACAACAGCACATCAATCTAAATATGGCCAAAGGAACAACACTGAGCAGAGACCACTATCCTGACCTTCTTCAAACCAGCAGGAAGTAATACCCTGTTTCCCCGAAAATAAGACAGTATCTTATATTAATTTTTGCTCCCAAAAATGAGCTAGGTCTTATTTTCAGGGGCTGTCTTATTTTCGGGGAAACGGGGCAATATACGACCAGATGATGTCACATGACCAAAAATGTTGCTAGGGATGATTCCTGATTGTCCCATTTCTGGAAAAGATTATTAAGTAGTATGCCCAATTAAGAATAAGATCAAACGGTAATTGACAGAACCCTCAAATGCAAGAGGAACAACTTCCTCCTTGACAATTTCCATGTGACTATAAACACGAAAACAACGAAGAGGAAAGTCCTGCTTATTGGTCCCAACATTGGGGGGTTCCAGAGTATAAAAGCCCCCAAAGAGAAGACACCATCAGAATCTGAGAAACTCACCTGTGAACACAAACCCACCCTCCACACCTGCCACCATGTGCTGCTCCCCTTGCTGCCAGCCTTGCTGCCGCCCTTGCTGCGTGTCCAGCTGCTGCCAGCCTTGCTGCCGCCCTTGCTGTGTGTCCAGCTGCTGCCAGCCCTGCTGCTGTGGGTCCAGCTGTGGCGGGTCCTGCTGCTGTTCTCCCTGCTGCCAGCAGGTTTGCTGCTGCCCTGTGCATGTCTGTAGAACCTGCTACCACCCCACCTGCTGCTGTGTGCCCGGCTGCATAAGGTATGGCTGTGGATCCAGCTGCTGCCAACCTTGCTGCTGCTGAGCTCCTTGCCAGACAGCCACCATCTGCACACATAACATCTGGGAACTGACCTGCCATTATGGAGACAAATGGTCTTCCTTAATTTGCTGACACCAGCATGCGGGACCATAATTTCTGTGACTCATCTGCTTGGTTACAAGTTTGAGTCAGCTTGATGGAGGTCACAGGTCTTGACCTTCCTCCTGTGCATGTGGATCATGTACCAGTTTTGTGCATCCTCGATACAAAAATTACCTTGATTTTGCAGTAGGATTACCTAGTTCCTCTAAGTAACTTAGGAAATCAAATTCTCATAACTTTTTTCATAGGTTTCTGTAATTAATCAATAATCTTCAAAATCATATATTCTTTTTCATTGTACTCATGGTTTTTGTTTCATGCTTTCTTCTTTTATAATCATTTTGAGTTGTCTTTGTAGAATCAGGAGTCTTACCTATGTGTTTCTTAATAAATTATATATCATAACTAATTCATATTGTGTGATATTTATTGTACAGAATTCCTGATATAAGGATTTAAATATACATTGCATATTACATACAAGATCCATTCTGAGCATCATAATAGCACCTCCCACCACTGTCATCTCTAATATTCAGGAAAACAACAACACACAAACAGTTCATTTTTGCAATGTCACAAGCTAATGATGAACAGACTCAGATCCAGGACTGGGCCTCCTGTTCCTGCTCACAGGCACTTACATCTATAATACATCTCAAAGATATAGGTCTGAGCCCCCGTTATATCTGTTTGGCCTGCTGTTGTTGCTGTCCTTGTTTATTTACGAATGCCACTGAGCCCGAACACACCACGAGTCACTCCAGTGAAATCCTGTGTTCCAGATGTATTTCTCTGTGCTCTCTTACTTTCAAGATAACGATCCCTCCCCAAATAGTAACTGCTCTCTAGAATCTACAATGGCCAGATGATAGTTGTGTCTCCTGATACAAAAAGGTGTCTTTCAGAGGAGTAAGACCTTCAACCCAGGAGAGCCTAACGGCATTATGAGACAAGAAGCACAGATTCCCAAGCGTCTCACTAGGAGTTAATTTGAGAAGGTTCACTCCCATCCATCATTTTCTGAACTTACGTATTCTACTTTTTAATGGATGTATGTTATACATATATATCAAACCATATAATGGCATTGGATTGAGGTACATTCCATATCCAGAACACAATATAGCAGATGTCACCTCTAAGATGGTGTCTTTGCTGCACATCTAAAAGATCATTTTAATTTCTCATCAAGCCTGCAATTTCTCTGTCATGTGATGTATAGTAGGACAAGTAGATCCCATGGCCTATTGTTGACCTTGTTCATCATAAGAGTGGATCCCTTGGTCCAAAGTGATGCTATCCTATGACTTATATACTGTAAGCTGTATATAAGCTTTCAGTATTTAGTACTGCACTGCACGGGTAGCACTGCAGGCAGGAAAGACAATTCTATGCACCACACATGCCATTATAATAAGAAAGAACTGCTATTGTCTTTTCACTGTGGAAGTGGTCTGATATAGAAAACTAGCCTTCAGGTGGGGTGGTTAGCTTCATGATTGATATTTGTCCGTAGGGCTCAATACCATTCTCTGCTTATGATGACAGCATATATAGCAGAGGTAGCAGAGGTGAGAGGGAGCCGTGCTATTGGTCCACACCTGCCCCTATTCCTGCCACCATAGCTACTTTGAAATTCCATCATGGCTTGTGTGCCTGAAAGTGACCCATGGGATATTCCTGTGAACTGTTTAAAAGATAACACTTTCCCCCACCCCCGCCCTACTCCCCAGTAGTGCTGCGGGTTAATCTTGTGGGCCATAAAAGTGCTTTGGAAACCCAATACAGGGAGTCACAGCAGATGCAAATTCAGTCACAGGAAGTGAGGAGGATATTGCCATATTAAGGATTGACTTATTTGAGGGAGGTGGAGGAAATGGTATAAGAACAGAAGGATAAAAGTTTGGGATGCAATCAGAGCATATTCCTAAACACAATATAAGCAGATAAAATTCAGTGCCATATACATATGATCATAACCACATTGAATTGTTGACAGGAATACAAGGTTGGTTTAACATTTAAACATGAATCAATTTTTAAAAACCGTATTTACTGAAAAAAAGAGGAGACTAATCATATGATTATCTCAATAGATAAAGAAAGAGCATCTTATAAGTTTAAACACACATTTCAAATATAGAATGCCTTAGCAAATAGGAATAATAATAATAAAAAAAACACCCTTGCTCCCCTGATGGAAAGAATCTACAGAAAAGACAGAAAGCTTACTATTTAATTATGAAATATGGAGAGCTGTCCTACTCTACAGACAATACACAAAGGAATCCACTTCATCGTTCCATTCAATATTAAAGGGAGGGTCTAGCCATGGAATGAAGAAGGAAACAATTTACAAGATAAAAAGGCTGCTAATGAATAATACCACCATTTTCTGTGGATATGGCAGTATATGCAAAATTTCCAACAAAAAAATTTATTAGTAAACTATTAAAAATAACGAGGGAATTTGGTTCCAAGATAAATTCATATACAAATAAATGTTTTTCTGTATGTCAGAAGCAGTTACAAATAAAATTTTATATTATACCATAAATAAGATCATAAAAATAAAATATCTAGGAAAAATCTAATGAAAGATAGCCAAGAGCCCTACAGAGGACAGAATAGTTTGACCAAGCAAGTCTATGAGAAATCTACTGCTAGGTGTATATATATTCAAAGAGACATTTATATATGTTTGCCAAAAGACCTAAACAAACAAAAAAAATTCATAGAGGCACTATTTTTAAGAGTCCCAAACTACAAAAAAACTACATATTTCTCAAGTGGAGAGTCAACAAATAAATTGTGTCATATTCATCCAGTGGAAGATTATACACCAACAATAATAAATGAACTACAAATATTTACATTGTTGAATGTCACAATCATCATGTAAAGAAGAGCCTGTCCTATAATATTTTATTTATATAAAGATCTAAACCAGTGAAATCAAGCTATAGTGTGACAAGTCAAGAGAGTGATTAGCAAGCATTAGAGATGCATTAGGGGGTATGATTTGGAGTGAGTAAGGTTCATTTCTATTTCTTGACCTGATGGTATTACCACGGGTCTGGTCATTTTGTAATAATCGGTCAAATTGGAAATTAATCATTTGCATACTTTTAAAATGAATAGTATACCTTTAAAAAGTTTAAACATACTAGACATCAAAGATAAATCAGGTAACATTTCAACTAATCTAATTCCTTCATAAACTGAGAGGCAAGAAGAGAGAAAGATTATTATAAGAAAACGGGAAAAAACAAAACAAAACACGGTAATTGTGAAAAGATTAGGATTGGAGTAACCAATACATCCTGGTTTGCCCAGAATGCCCAGTCACACCTCTGGGGAGTCTCACATCCTGGGAAACCTGTTAGTCCAGGGCAATCAGGACCATTAGTCACCAAGGAAGTGAAATGACTGATGCTCTCTCAGCCCCAGCTTCTGTTTCAACCCACCTACTTTGGTTCTGCTGTGCATATGGAGATTACAACAAACATCCTCTATCCAAGTGTCTGTGACCCAACCTGGATGCACAGGTGGGGTGGTGGCTCCAGAAAGATTCATGTCACAGTTTTAAATCACGCTTTGGTGAGCAAACACTTGGACTCAGGTATAATGTCAATTTAAACCATGAACATATCAGCATCATGTCCCTTACACAGGATACTTCCGGATGTAAGTACAGCCAAATACCCAATACTCATGTACTCACCCGCATGAAGCCATGAGGGTTGCTATCATATACCACATATGACCAAAGCAGGAACCATCCTGATGATGGGACAACCTTCCTTTTTTCTAAAAACGTTTCTGTGAGTTATTCTCAATTAGGAAATACATTAAATACTTATTTTCTAAACATTCATATCACATAGGGAACAGCTTCCTCCTTGACAATTTCTCTGTAATTAACAAATGACAAACAAAAACAAGGAAAGTCTTACTGATTGGTCCCGATATTGGGGGCCCGGTGTATAAAAACCCCAGAACGGAAGAAGTCCTCAGAATCTGAGAAACTCACCTCTGAACACAAACTCACCTTCTACACCTGACACCATGTGCTGCTCCCCTTGCTGCCAGCCCAGCTGCTGTGGATCCAGCTGTTGCCGGCCCAGCTGCTGCTGCCGCCCCTGCTGTGTGTCCAGCTGCTGCCAGCCTTGCTGCCGCCCATGCTGTGTGTCCAGCTGCTGCCAGCCTTGCTGCCGCCCCTGCTGTGGGTCTAGCTGCTGCTGCCGCCCCTGCTGTGTGTCCAGCTGCTGCCAGCCTTGCTGCCGCCCCTGCTGTGGGTCCAGCTGCTGCTGCCGCCCATGCTGTGGGTCTAGCTGCTGCTGCCAGCCTTGCTGCTGCCCAACCTGGTGTCAGTCCACTTGCTGTAGAACCACCTGCTGCCGGCCCAGCTGCTGCTACCGCCCCTGCTGTGTGTCCAGCTGCTGCCAGCCATGCCGCTAGCCATGCCATCGCCCTTGATGTGGGTCTTGCTGTTGCCAGCCTTCCTGCTGCTGATCACCTCACCAAAGAAACACCATCTTCATACACCATCTGTTAATTGATTCAATATTTGGGAAACAAATTCCCTTCCTAGGCTTGGCTAGCCACCCGCCTGCTCTCCCTTGATTTCTGTGACTCATGTGCCTGATACAAGCTTCTGAACCAGCTGGATGGAGAGCAGAGGACGTCCCCAGTCAGCTTCCTCCCGTGTGGGTGCAACATGGGTCAGCTTCCTGCATCCTCCATACGGAGCTCTGGTCTCTGCTTTGACTCTGTAGTCAAGGTCTTCACCCTCTCCCTCTGTGTGACTTAGAAAAACACATTTTGTAACAGTTACACAGGTTTTCTGCAATTGCTGAAAATCTTTTCAATCCTGTTTTCTTTCCCTCTGCTCTCCTGGTTCCTGTAATCCTGTTTTCTTCTTTCATGCTCACTCTGAGTTGGCTCCCTAGATATGGGAATTGTACCTCTATTTCTTAATAAATTCTGTTCATTCCACATTGTGTTTGGTTTTATTATAAAGCTTTATGTGAGGATTTACACACATGTTGCACATCATATGCATGAACCATTCTGAGCTTCATGTAGTCCCTCAAAACAATTATCTCCATTCTTCATATGAGAACGTTTCACAGGGTCATGTTAGACAGCTGACCTGGACAGCCTCAGACCCAAGACTGTATGTTTTGCTTCTGCTCAATTGTGCTTATTATCTCAAGACAAGTCAGAAAAAGGCCTGGACTAAGCACCAGCAAGATGCTAATTTGAGTGTCTCTGACAGTGGAGATGATATTCTCCTGTATGTACAGGCACATAACACCTATTTTCAAAGTTCTCCCCAAATCAGTGTCCACACCTCCACTACATCGGAGGGCAGCAAGGTCTGTACTTTACAGCTCCCCTGTGTGCAGGATCCTTTCCTGTCTCAGGTGCCGTCCAGCCTGTCACGCTTTCATGGGCATCCAATGTTCAGGAGTATCCAGTGTGTCCTCATGAGGGAGAGGCTCATCTAAGAGATTGTTCTTTGCTTTCACATAAGTCAAAATGTTGGCTGTCCTTCATCCCCTGAGTTACCTATAGACTAAAATAAAAGGGAATTAAGTCATTTCCTGCAGAATATTTTACATTCCCCAACTTTAAGGCAATTTGCCATTCTGATCAGAATATTAGATCTAACTCATTTGGCTCAGTGGATAGAACATCAGCCTGTGGACTGAAAGGTCCCAGGTTTGATTCTGGTCAAGGGCATGTACCTAGTTTGCAGGCACATCCCCAGTAAGAGGCGTGAAAGAGGCAGCTGATAGATGTTTTACTCTCATCGATGTTTCTAACTCTCCATCTCTCTCCCTTCCTCTCTGTAAAAATCAATAAAATATATATATTTTTAAAAGAATATTACTAAGAGAATTCATTAAGAAAAAAAAGTCGGGAACTGAGACATAAGCAATGGGCAATTATAACTTTGAGGAATCCATAAAGCCTGACCCTCCTACAGAAATAGAACCATCTATAGTGAATTGTGAGTCAACTCTGAAACATTTGAGAGACATAAAAGTTTTGGTCCAGGGGAAGTGATATAATTTGAGAAAAAAGAAAAGTCCAGGAGCCTGGTAGTCATGCTGGACAGAGGCTGCTCTTTGGTCCTGCACTAACAGTGCTGCCTGAACGTTCAATGAGCTAAGGCTTGAGACTGGTTCTGAGAAAGTTAGAAGAGTTTGGAACCTGGATCACCTCCTTGGGAGCAGTAGTGGTGCCTCTGATGAGCTCACCAAGCTGGTGTCCAGGACTCGTGCTCGCTTTTGAGACTGTGTGTCTGGGATGCTCAGCAAAAACTGCCAAGACCAAACTGACTGACCGCTGGTCCTTGGTGGGTGTTTGGGTGATTAAAATGAGAAACTAACATGTTCTGGGTGACTAACTGATGGCTAGGTATGCACTCAGTGCTTTTTCTACATATCTTTAATTGCTGCGGAAAAGTTCAAGGCAGGTATAAATGTTCCCATTATACAGATGAGAATGAGACTGAGCAGGAAAAGAAATGTCACAATTTGGTTTCTCCAATAAATTAATCTAAATAAATGATTCAAGTACATGTAGTTGATTTGGTAAGTGTAGGCCTCACTGGTGTGGAGTGTGGACTTGATACAGGAATGGGGCATAATGAAGCCAGTACCATGTGGCCAACTGTAACTTATGTCTAAAAGGAAATATCAGAAACGATGCAAGCACACACTTTAGGATTATCCAACTGAGTCATTTGGGAGCCGCCTCCTTATAACCCTCTCCAGAAGCAGTGGTTGCGACACACACTGGCAGCATGACTTCTGTGGTTTCAAGCAAACAGCCCCGAGGCTCAGAGATACAGGTCTACTGGCAGAAATTGGCCTGAACACACTAAGATCCAAGATAGGTGGGTGGGGAATGCAAAACCTCATCTATAAACTATGATTTTCCCCATTGCATCCAATTTGGGTTATTCAGTGTAAACTCACACTTTCATATATATATATATATATATATATATATATATTTTATTGATTTTTTACAGAGAGGAAGAGAGAGGGATAGAGAGTTAAAAACATCGATTAGAGAGAGACATCAATAAGCTGCCTCTTGCACACCCCCTACTAGGGATGTGCCTGCAACCAAGGTACATGCCCTTGACCGGAATGGAACCCGGGACCTTTCAGTCCACAGGCCGACACTCTACTTACTGAGCCAAACCAGTTTCACCTAAACTCACACTTTCTAAGAAGAAGAGGACAGAGTAAGAAGAGGTAGTGCTGGTGAAGGAGATATAGAAGGTAAAAGATGAGGGGTAGAAACATGTGAGGGAAAGATGGAGAAGAAGAAAATAGAGGAGACAAAGGAAGACAAGGAGAACAGGAAGGACTTAGGAGGTAGAGAAGGAGGAAAATGGAGAAAGAACAAAGAAAAAAGAGGAAGGAAAAAAGGGATCTAAGAAAATGAGAAAGAAAAAGAAAACACAGTAATGTGTGTAGTAACTAAGGGGAGGTCAATGCATGCGATGGTTAACAAGGTTTAACTCATTCTGCTTTGCCCTAATTGCCCAGTCACACCTCTGGGGAGCCCCTATCCTGAGAAACACGTTAGTCCCCGGCAATCAGGACCATTGGTCACCCAGGAAGTGAAATGACTGATGCTTTCTCAGCCCCAGCTTCTGTTTCCTCCCACCTGCTTTGGTTCTGCTGTGCATATGGAGATTATGCCAAACATCCTCTACTCAAGTGTCTGTGACCCAACCTGGATACACAGGTAGAGTGGTTGCTCCAGAGAGATTCCTGTCACAGTCCTGAATCAGGCTTTGGTGGGCAAACAGACATTGACTCAGGCATGATGTCAATTTAAACCATGAACATACCAGCATCATGTCTTTTAAACAGGGATACTTCCAAAACTAAGTACAGTTGAATACACAAAACACATGTACTGACCCTCATGAGGCCATGAGAGACTCTATCATATGACCACAATATGACCAAAGCAGGAACCATCGTGATGATGGGACCACCTTCCTTTTATCTGAAAACATTTCTATGACTTATTCTCAATTAAGGAACACATTAAACACTTTTTAAACATTCATATCAGATAGCAAACAACTTCATCTTAGGCAATTTCCCTGTGATTAACAAAACAACATAAACAAAAACAAGGAAAGTCTTACTGATTGGTCCCAACATTGGGGGCCCAGGGTATAAAAACCCCAGAACGGACGAAGTCCTCAGAATCTGAGAAACTCACCTCTGAACACAAACTCACCTTCTACACCTGACACCATGTGCTGCTCCCCTTGCTGCCAGCCCAGCTGCTGTGGATCCAGCTGTTGCCGGCCCAGCTGCTGCTGCCGCCCCTGCTGTGTGTCCAGCTGCTGCCAGCCTTGCTGCCGCCCCTGCTGTGGGTCCAGCTGCTGCTGCCAGCCTTGCTGCCGCCCCTGCTGTGTGTCCAGCTGCTGCCAGCCTTGCTGCCGCCCCTGCTGTGGGTCCAGCTGCTGCTGCCAGCCTTGCTGCCGCCCCTGCTGTGTGTCCAGCTGCTGCCAGCCTTGCTGCCGCCCATGCTGTGTGTCCAGCTGCTGCCAGCCTTGCTGCCGCCCCTGCTGTGGGTCTAGCTGCTGCTGCCGCCCCTGCTGTGTGTCCAGCTGCTGCCAGCCTTGCTGCCGCCCCTGCTGTGGGTCCAGCTGCTGCCAGCCTTGCTGCCGCCCCTGCTGTGGGTCCAGCTGCTGCTGCCGTCCATGCTGTGTGTCCAGCTGCTGCCGCCCCTGTTGTGGGTCTAGTTGCTGCTGCCGCCCCTGCTGTGTGTCCAGCTGCTGCCGCCCCTGCTGTGGGTCCAGCTGCTGCTGCCGTCCATGCTGTGTGTCCAGCTGCTGCCGCCCCTGTTGTGGGTCTAGTTGCTGCTGCCGCCCCTGCTGTGTGTCCAGCTGCTGCCGCCCCTGCTGTGGGTCTAGCTGCTGCTGCCGCCCATGCTGTGTGTCCAGCTGCTGCCAGCCTTGCTGTCGCCCATGCTGTGGGTCTAGCTGTTGTTAACCTTCCTGCTGTTAAACACCTCGACACAGAACTACCATCTTCATACACCATCTGTTAATTGATTCAATATTTGGGAAACAAATTCCCTTCCTAGGCTTGGCTAGCCACCCGCCTGCTCTCCCTTGATTTCTGTGACTCATGTGCCTGATACAAGCTTCTGAACCAGCTGGATGGAGAGCAGAGGACGTCCCCAGTCAGCTTCCTCCCGTGTGGGTGCAACATGGGTCAGCTTCCTGCATCCTCCATACGGAGCTCTGGTCTCTGCTTTGACTCTGTAGTCAAGGTCTTCACCCTCTCCCTCTGTGTGACTTAGAAAAACACATTTTGTAACAGTTACACGGGTTTTCTGCAATTGCTGAAAATCTTTTCAATCCTGTTTTCTTTCCCTCTGCTCTCCTGGTTCCTGTAATCCTGTTTTCTTCTTTCATGCTCACTCTGAGTTGGCTCCCTAGATATGGGAATTGTACCTCTATTTCTTAATAAATTCTGTTCATTCCACATTGTGTTTGGTTTTATTATAAAGCTTTATGTGAGGATTTACACACATGTTGCACATCATATGCATGAACCATTCTGAGCTTCATGTAGTCCCTCAAAACAATTATCTCCATTCTTCATATGAGAACGTTTCACAGGGTCATGTTAGACAGCTGACCTGGACAGCCTCAGACCCAAGACTGTATGTTTTGCTTCTGCTCAATGGTGCTTATTATCTCAAGACAAGTCAGAAAAAGGCCTGGACTAAGCACCAGCAAGATGCTAATTTGAGTGTCTCTGACAGTGGAGATGATATTCTCCTGTATGTACAGGCACATAACACCTATTTTCAAAGTTCTCCCCAAATCAGTGTCCACACCTCCACTACATCGGAGGGCAGCAAGGCCTGTACTTTATAGCTCCCCTGTGTGCAGGATCCTTTCCTGTCTCAGGTGCCGTCCAGCCTGTCACGCTTTCATGGGCATCCAATGTTCAGGAGTATCCAGTGTGTCCTCATGAGGGAGAGGCTCATCTAAGAGATTGTTCTTTGCTTTCACATAAGTCAAAATGTTGGCTGTCCTTCATCCCCTGAGTTACCTATAGACTAGAATAAAAGGGAATTAAGTCATTTCCTGCAGAACATTTTACATTCCCCAATGTTAAGGCAATTTGCCATTCTGATCAGAATATTAGTAAGAGAAGTTAGTTGATACCTGAGAAATAAGCAATGGGCAGGTAGGACTTTGAAGAATTCATAATTCTTGAACCTTCTACTGAAACAGAACCATCTCCTGTGGATTGTGAGTGAAGTCGGTAGCACTTGAGAGAAATAAAAGCCTGTGTTCCAGGGGGAGTGACATAATGTAAGAAAGAAAAGTCAGGGAGCCTGAGAACTCCTAATAGTCATGCTGGACAGAGGCTGCTCTTTGGTCCTGCACTAACAGTGCTGCCTGAACATTCAATGAGCTAAGGCTTGAGACTGGTTCTGAGAGATTTAGAAGAGTTTAGAACCCAGATCACCTCCCTGGGAGCAGTAGTGAGCTCTGATGAGCTCACCAAGCTGGTATCCAGGACTCGTGCTCGCTTTTGAGACGGTGTGTCTGGGATGCTCAGCAAAAACTGCCAAGACCAAACTGACTGACCGCTGGTTCTTGGTGGGTGTTTGGGTGATTAGAATGAGAAACTAACATGTTCTGGGTGACTTACTATTTGCTAGTGGGTATGCACTTAATGCTTTATCTGCATATCTTTAATTGCTGCAGAAATTTTCAAGACAGTTTAAATGTCCCCATTGTACAGATGAGGATATTGAGATTGAGGAGGAAAAGAAATGTCACAGTTTGGTTTCTCCAAGAAATCAATCTAAATAAATGATTCAAGTGCATTTAGTTGATTTGGTAAATGCAGGTCTCAATGATTTGGAGTGTAGATGTGATACAGGAATGGGGCACAGGAAGCCAGGACCATGTGACCAACTGTAGCTTATGTCTAAGAGGAAATATCAGGAATGTTGGAAGCACACACTTTAGGATTATCCAACTGAGTCATTTGGGAGCTGCGTCCTTATAACCCTCTTCAATCCAAGATACCTTGGTGGGGAATGCAAAACCTCATCTATAATCTATGATTTTCCCCATTATCTCCAACATTGGGTTATTCAGTGTAAACTCACCCTTTCTCAGAAGAAGAGGTAGGGATGGTGAAGAAGGGGATGGAGAAGGTAGAGTAGGTGGAGGGGAAGAATGGGCGAGGGGAGAAGAAGAAAAAGAAAGATGAGGGGGAAGAGAGGAAAGATATGCATAAGAAAGAGGAAAAGGAGGACGTAGAGAAGGAGGAAGAGAAAGGGAGAAGAAAGAAAAAGGAAGGAAGAGAGATAGGGGTTAAAGAAAATGAGAAGGAAAGAAAAAGAAAACAGTGCATGTGTGGTCAGTGACATGAGGTCACTGAATCTGCTGGTTAAGAAGGTTAGAACTGGAGTCACCAACTCATCCTGGTTTACCCAAACTGCCCCAGTCACACCTTTGGGGGAGTCCTGCATCCTATGAAACTTCTTAGTCCTGGGCAATTAGGACCACTGGTCATGTAGGAAGTGAAATGATTGATGCTCTCTCAGTCCCAGCTTCTGCTTCAACCCACGTGCTTGGGTTCTGCTGTGCATATGGAAGAGATTACACCAAACATCCTCTACACAAGTGTCTGTGTCCCAACCTGGATGCACAGGTGGGGTGGTGGCTCCAGAGAGATTCCTGTCACAGTCTTGAATCAAGCTTTGGTGGGCAAACAGACTTGGACTCAGACATAATGTCAATTTAAACCATGAACATATCAGCATCATGTCCCTTACACAGGGATACTTCCGGATGTAAGTACAGCCAAATACCCAATACTCATGTACTGACCCGCATGAAGCTGTGAGGGTTGCTATCATATACCACATATGACCAAAGCAGGAACCATCCTGATGATGGGACCACCTTCCTTTTATCTAAAAACGTTTCTGTGAGTTATTCTCAATTAGGAAATACATTAAATACTTATTTTCTAAACATTCATATCACATCGGGAACAGCTTCCTCCTTGACAATTTCTCTGTAATTAACAAATGACAAACAAAAACAAGGAAAGTCTTACTGATTGGTCCCAACATTGGGGGCCCGGTGTATAAAAACCCCAGAACGGAAGAAGTCCTCAGAATCTGAGAAACTCACCTCTGAACACAAACTCACCTTCTACACCTGACACCATGTGCTGCTCCCCTTGCTGCCAGCCCAGCTGCTGTGGATCCAGCTGTTGCCGGCCCAGCTGCTGCTGCCGCCCCTGCTGTGTGTCCAGCTGCTGCCAGCCTTGCTGCCGCCCATGCTATGTGTCCAGCTGCTGCCAGCCTTGCTGCCGCCCCTGCTGTGTGTCCAGCTGCTGCCAGCCTTGCTGCCGCCCCTGCTGTGTGTCCAGCTGCTGCCAGCCTTGCTGCCGCCCCTGCTGTGTGTTCAGCTGCTGCCAACCTTGCTGCCGCCCATGCTGTGGGTCTAGCTGCTGCTGCCAGCCTTGCTGCTGCCCAACCTGGTGTCAGACCACCTGCTGTAGGACCACCTGCTGCCGGCCCAGCTGCTGCTGCCGCCCATGCTGTGTGTCCAGCTGCTGCCAGCCTTCCTGCTGCTGATTGCCCTGACTTAAGAGTTACCACCTGCACACAACACCTACTGTGAACTGACTTGCAATTTTGGAAATAAATTCCCTTACAAATGTTGCTGAAAGCCAGCATGTGGTCACCAACATTTCTGTGACTCATTTGCCTGTTAGCAAGTGTATGAATCACCCTGACAGGGTGCAGTGGACATCCCCGATTCTTTTCTTACGTCTTGTGGACCATGTGCCAGCTTCGTGCATCCTCACTAAGGAGTGTGACCTACGAGTAATTTAGGAAATCAAACTCTCATTGCTTCTTCGTGGATTTCTGCTGCTGGTCTTCATAATCATGTTTCTTTCTCAGTGTACTCATGGTTCTTATATCCTGCTGTTTTATTTCCATGATCACTTTGAATTGTCTCTGTAGATGCAAGAATTCCATCCTATATTTCTTAATAAATCCTGTACCCTTACTCATCACCAGTTGCATTTGGTTTTATTACATAGCATTCCTCATATAGGGACTTATGCACGTATCGCATACCGCATGCATTTCCATTTTGAGCCTCACAACAGCCTCTCACAAGTTTCATCCTCAGCTTGTTGATGAGAACATTTCACCGGGTAATGCAGCTAAAAATGGACTGAGGAGACCGAAGACTGGGCCTCCTGCTCCTCTCAAGGACACTTGCATTCCCACATCGGAAAACATCGAGATGAACCTGGGGCTGCCCACCAGCAGCGGGTGCACTTGAGTTTCTCCTTTAACAATGGATGGAATCATCTTCCATCTATGCAGTTACTTCTGTGTCTACAGAGTCCTTCCCCAGTCAGGGTCCTTCCCCAGCTCACAGAGCAGTGGATGTTTCAGTGAGGATGGCGGTGAGTTTCAGTTAGGGGGCAGGGATGGCATTGGAGAGCTCTCACGAATGCAGGGTAACTTTCCTTCTCTCAGGCTCTGGTCACCCCCCGCATGCAATTCCTCTGCATCGAGCAATTTTGATCATCCATTGTGTCCTCTTAAGACAGGCTCCCTTATCAGGACTTATTCTTGGCATCACATATTTCTTGTGTGGTCTCCTTCTCCCACATCCCTGTTTTAGAGCAAAAAGGCATTAAGTAAGTCTCTACAAAAAATACTCCCTACATTATGATCCCCAACTTTAAACCAACTTGCTTCAGTGAGTTTTTAAGAGGGATGTTACCATATTAGGGGCTCGACATCAGTCCCTGCTCTGACAAGTAGCACCTTCGGTAGAGGCAGCTGTGGTGGGCGAGGGTGCATGTGGCTGGTTCCACGCAAAGCCTGGGTCCCTGCCACCATGGCTCCTTTGTTTGTGGTCTACATTGGAAGCACTGGGGCACCTGAGGAGGGAGACAGGATGAGTTATCCCCACCTCCTGGTTATCCAGTGCCTCCCAAGTGGTGGATACTCTTGTGGGCACTGATGTGGGACACAAAGAGGGAACACTTTCTGTCCACACATGTGGTTATAGCTACATGATTCTTCAAATCTCTGGATCTCCAGTCTTTCCGTCTTGCTCCTTCCAGGTCTCAGACCAATCATCCGTGCTTCCCTACAGCCCATGAATGTCATCTCCTTGTCCACTTTGTTGCTAAGCAAAATTTACAACTAGATGTACTGCTCACAGTTCTTCTCACCAGGAGTGTTTACCCTTTCCACTGCCTTGTCAGACCAGAAATTGTTGACCTATTTTAGTAAAAATTCCATATGGGGTATAATAGCTGCTGTTAGGGCTACTAACTGATAAAATTTAAAGAATGTCATGATTATATATCATATTCCATTAGGTCTCTGTGGGGATAAATGGAGTTGTAAGGCAATCTTGCTTTAGTCATTTAGGTCAGCACTAAACCTCCTGATGTGCTATAGCTTCTCTCTAGTTCCTTGGTCTGAAGGTTTAATTTGTAAATTTGAGATAAAGTTTATGTTAAGTTAGAGATATAGGCATAAACAAAAAAGGCAAATCCTAATTACTGAGAAAAAAAGGCAAATAAACTATTCTTTACTTTTTATTAAGGATTAGGAATAAAATATGTTTTGTGATACCCTTTGGAAATGTAAGGATGATGATATCTTAAAGACTGTATCTGCCTATAGTCCAGCTAATATAGTAAAGGAGGCCGGAAAAGAAAAAGAAAAAATTCCAGATTAATCCATGGATGGACATACTATTTAAAGGGAAAAAGAAAGCAATAGACAAAAGAAAGATGACACTATATATGAAAAATATTCCCATGAGTATGAATAAATATATCCTGCATAACCCCCACCCGACTCCAACACACAGCTAGGGAGCAGCAGAACAAGAATTTGAGAACTCTTCCATATGATTCTAATTCTCATAACCAAGATCTATTATATTCTTTTCCACAAAAGAGAGTTTACAATTAAAGATAGAATTTGAGATGAATAGCTGCACAGTTCTAGAGGGAACTTAGTACAGACAAGCGATGATGCAAACTAGCAGCCTCTTTACAAAACTGGCTCACACTGAGTAGCTCTGTAATCGGGTGAGGGACTGCAGAACTTTTTCCTGTTTCTCTCTAGAAGTTCTACAGTTTCAGGCTTTACATTTAGATGCATAACCCAATTTGAGTTGGTTTTGAATAACATCAAATATGGGCCCAATTGGGTGTCTTTTTTTGTTTGTTTGTTTGTTTGTTTGTTTTTGCACATGGATATTTACTAGTAGCTGTTTCAGCATCATCTGTTCAAAAGAGCACACTTTCTTTTTTTAAAAAATATATTTTATTGATTTTTCACAGAGAGGAAGGGAGAGGGATAGAGAGCTAGAAACATCAATGAGAAAGAAACATCAACCAGCTGCCTCTTGCACCCCCTCCCCCACTGGGGATGTGCCCGCAACCAATGTACATGCCCTTGACCGGAATCGAACCCAGGACCCTTCAGTCCATAGACCGACACTCTATCCACTGAGCCAAACCGGTTTTGGCAAAAGAGCACACTTTCTCTGCATATTAATTTGATACTTTTTTAAAAAAAATCAATTTCCCCCCATTGGTCTATATCATTAACATTTCCCCAGTGGCCCCACAAGAGATTTAATTTAAGTCAGATGGTATTTTGCAGTTTATACAATTTCATGCTAGTTATTTTGCTTCCCTCAACACTGATTTCCTCAGCTCTTCCATGGAGGCAGTAATATCCACTTTCCAGGGTTCTATGAGAATAAGAGATGATGTAGAACAAACATCTAGCTCAATACTCAGCACAGAGTAGGACTTCAATAAATGTTAGTAATTCTTCCCACTTATTTTCTATGTTGGACACATCCTCTAGAAAGATCACACTTTCTGTTACATCCAGTGACATGACACTAAATATCTCTGCATCTCTTAAGAGGTGACCACAATAAAAACTTATTTTTCTCCCAGAGCTATATTAACCCTTAATGGCTAATACATCTATTCTCTTTATTATTCAGTTTTTCATCCAACAATCCAGGTTTCCTCTGGACACCAACCCAATGCCCATCTTGACTTTGAATAAATACATCCTTCCTTCTTCCTACTTTTTTTCTTTCTTTTTCCTGAAAATTCTGAGTCTTTATCTCAAGAGAACATGGTAAGCTGTACTGTTCCTTTTATGGCCTAGAGAGAATGACTGGATCAAAGGTTTATATGCCCATTGCATGGTTACCTCAAATCTCAGGACTCTAAAAATGTATCTTCCTTTAACAACTTCCAGGTCAGGAGATCAAATTGCCTCAAAGTTTGGAAGCCTGGAAAGTATGGCCTGAGCTTGTGTGCTTTGCAAGTGTGAGTGTTAATCCAAATTTCTGTTGAGATAAATAAAATATCACCAATGCCTATTCTGTGACACCCAAGAACAAGTTCCTCTCGGCAAGGGGAAAGGCCCGGGATACCAACCACACTCACGTTACTTTCTGATGACAGATTGCGCCACTTACAGATCAGAACTCAAGGAAGCTGTCAGAGCTGCCTTCACTGATAAAATTCTTAAAGCAGCCTCTATTGATCGGAGAAGTAGAGAGAATATGTGAAAAGAGCTCTGTAGACAGAAAGGTATTCTGTATATGAAAGGTGTGACTGTCCCCATTGTTAAAAAAGCAACTCAACGTACATACCTCCCCTGTGCCCAGTCACCAGTTATTTCTACCTGCAGAAAAATGTAAATAAAAGTGCCCTGGACCTGGAATCAAAAGACCCTGTGTATGTAGGACCTATTATGTCAATTATAAGCCACATGTCCAACCAATTTCTGTTCACTGAGAATGATAATGGGATGATAATTTTTGCTTTGCCTATCTTGTAAGGCCATTGTGAGACTTGAATGAGATAAAACATAAACTGCAACTCAAAAGTAAGGCTCCTTAAGGAAGTATTATAAACAAATAAACAAAATACAAACATATGATGCAAGATAGTATAGATTTTTATTAGGAAAGAACAGTCAAGAAGAGTGTTCAAACTGATATTGAAGAGTTTAGTAGCCTGGCATAAATTATTAAATACAATGAATAGATCTAAAAAGATGAAAAATATTGATCATTTTGCAGAGCTAAATATACAGTCATAATAATTTAAGTTCCATAGAGGCAAGAGGGAAGGACGACTTTCATCAGGCCTGAGACCATTAATTCATGTTGAAATCAGATGGAGCTGACCAGTATCTGGTACATTGATCAAGAGGAAATGAAGAACAGAATCAAAGGGAAGTAGACTGCATCGCCTCAGTGGACTCTCAAGAATTATAGAAAGATGAACGAAGTTGTATCAGCATGTTGTTTCTCAGCAAAGCTTGGGAGCCAGTTTCTTGCAGGATCAGAAACTTTGGCAAAATGGTCAAAGAAATATGTCTTGTCTCCGGTGGGCAAGTGGATCAGCAGCAGCAAGGCTGGCAGCAGCTGGACACACAGCATGGGCGGCAGCAAGGCTGGCAGCAGCTGGACCCACAGCAGGGGCGGCAGCAGCAGCTAGACCCACAGCAGGGGCGGCAGCAAGGCTGGCAGCAGCTGGACACACAGCATGGGCGGCAGCAAGGCTGGCAGCAGCTGGACCCACAGCATGGGCGGCAGCAAGGCTGGCAGCAGCAGCTAGACCCACAGCAGGGGCGGCAGCAAGGCTGGCAGCAGCAGCTAGACCCACAGCAGGGGCGGCAGCAAGGCTGGCAGCAGCTGGACACACAGCAGGGGCGGCAGCAGCAGCTGGACCCACAGCAGGGGCGGCAGCAAGGCTGGCAGCAGCTGGACACACAGCAGGGGCGGCAGCAAGGCTGGCAGCAGCAGCTGGACCCACAGCAGGGGCGGCAGCAAGGCTGGCAGCAGCTGGACACACAGCAGGGGCGGCAGCAAGGCTGGCAGCAGCAGCTGGACCCACAGCAGGGGCGGCAGCAAGGCTGGCAGCAGCTGGACACACAGCATGGGCGGCAGCAGCAGCTAGACCCACAGCAGGGGCGGCAGCAAGGCTGGCAGCAGCTGGACACACAGCATGGGCGGCAGCAGCTGGACCCACAGCAGGGGCGGCAGCAGCAGCTAGACCCACAGCATGGGCGGCAGCAGCTGGACACACAGCAGGGGCGGCAGCAAGGCTGGCAGCAGCTGGATCCACAACATGTGGTCCTGCAGCAGGTAGACTGACAGCAAGGGGAACAGCAGGTCATGGTGTCAGGTGTAAAAGGTGGGCTTCTGAGCAGAAAATAATTCTTAGGATGTGAACTCTTCTGCCCCCCTAGACCTTTTATACACTGGTTCCCAAATTTGGGACCAATGAAACGAAGTTTCCTGGTTATTATTTATGACATTTCTTCATGACCATGGACAACTGACCAAGGAAGAAGAGTTCCCTACGAATTATGAGTGATCTGAAAATAAATGATAGAATTGTCCTCCTAATTAAAAGATAACCTGTAAGAACTCATTTCCAGAAATGGGAGAGATAGTCAACATCAAAAGAATTATTAACTATGAGTCATCCTTTTTTAAAGAAGGAGCACATCCTCTGGTCATATGCTAGTTCAAGCTGGTTTGGAGAAGAGGCCAGAGCCATTGTCACTGACTTTTCTCCCTCGATGCTACTTTTATTGAAATCCATCTCTGAAGACAGAGCATGTTGTTGATGAAACAAAGATGATGAATTCAAAATACATTTTAACACATTTTGAATTAAAAAGAATATTTTAATAAGGCTTTTTATCTATGTCACACAAAACTCAATGACTGGTTATTCTCTTAGTAGCACGCAAGTCCACATGGGCATGTATATTCTGCAGCAGGGATGGAGCTCAACTATAACTGGCATGATCTTTCCCACACTGGGCTCCAGATTTGTTGGCTGGCCAGACAGCAAGCCTGTTCTGGGAACACTATATTTACATTTACTGGTAAAGAAAAAGCAGTTCGTCTGACAACTCCAAGAGTTTGCTCTAAATTGCAGTTTAAAACTACAAATGCCCAGGAGTGTAAATGGAGGGACAAAAGGGACAACAATGACTCCATCATGTGTATCAATGGAGCGAAGCAGAACAAGGTGCATCATAGTTTGATAACTTAGAAATTTCCATATTTGGATAACTTTTAAAAAGAAAGCCTCTTTGTTTCACTGGCAGCGATGTGGCGCCTGATACAGTGCTCTGAATTAAGCTGTGGCTAAGGATTTCTGGCCCCTATGCTGCTGGGGTGACCTGACTTGGCTGCAAAGGTGGAGAACCCCATGTTCACAGGTCCAGCGTAAGAGCAATGGCATTTTTCACTCAACATAATTTTCTATTGAGTCATCCAGGTTGTTGAGTATTAATAGTTTATTCTCTCTTGTTGCTGAGAAGTATTCAGTGGTATGAGTATACCACAGTTTAATCACTCATTCATTGAAAGGTATCTGGGTAGCATCCATTCTTTGGCTGTTATGAACAGCATTAGTACAAACATTCACTGTATGAATAAAGTCTTCTTCTCTGGTAGAAATGTCCATGATTGCAATTTCCAGGTTATATGGTAATTGCATGTTCTATTTCTAAAGGACCTGACAAACTGTTTTTTAGAATACCTACATCATTTCCTATCAGTATTATAAAGTGATATCAAATTCAATTAGATAATTATAATCATTTTTTCTTGCAAAATTAGATAGAATGCATATGTGTCATTTGGTTATTTCATAAAGAAGAGATATGATAACGTCTTGTGCTAAACAGAGTGATACTGCCAATAAGAAGCTGTAACAACATGAGGAAATATGCCAAAATGCATTACTTGGAATTCCTTTCCCAGCTCACTAACCACCAGCCTATATCTAGAGCCATACCTTATCTCACTGCTCAAGAATCATTCATGGTGAGGGGGTGGAGGTTGGGAGGAGGTCTTCTACTCCTCTCCAGGATCCCTCAATATATCATTCTGAGAATTATTCCATTCCCATTTGTCTGTGTCCTAAACTCGCGACTCACAGTTTGGGCCTAGGCTGAGTCACGGAAATGAGAAACATATGGGCACTTAACAACAAACAGCCAGTCCCGTTCCAGCCAATTGGACAGAGAGCTGCAGTCCTGAAATTAGATGATACACACGAGGAAGAAACACAAGTGTTGATTTGAAGAAAAGATTAGAGTGAAATACATCATAGAAAGGAAGAATGCATTCTATCTAATTTTGCAAGAAAAAAATGATTATAATTATCTGATTGAATACTGTTTACCTATTAAGATAAACAATAACAAGGAAAAAAAATGCCTCAACAGGGTATAAAAGAGGGCCTGAGCAGAGATTCAGGAAACTCACTCTCCTAGAAACTCACCCAGAACCTCCACCCTCCAACACCATGGTCAACTCCTGTGGCTCCGTCTGCTCTGACCAGGGCTGTGGCCAAGGCTGCTGCCAGGAGACCTGCTGCCGCCCCAGCTGCTGCCAGACCACCTGCTGCCGCCCCACCTGCTGTGGCTCCAGCTGCTGTGGCTCCAGCTGCTGCAGGCCTACCTGCTGCATCACTAGCTGCTGCCGCCCCACCTGCTGCCGCCCCTGCTGTGTGTCTAGCTGCTGCCGCCCCTGCTGTGGCTCCAGCTGCTGCCGCCCCTGCTGTGTGTCTAGCTGCTGCCGCCCCTGCTGTGGCTCCTGCTGTGGCTCCAGCTGCTGTGGCTCCAGCTGCTGCAGGCCTACCTGCTGCACCACTAGCTGCTGCCGCCCCACCTGCTGTGGCTCCAGCTGCTGCCGCCCCTGCTGTGTGTCTAGCTGCTGCCGCCCCTGCTGTAGCAGCTGCTGTGGCTCCAGCTGCTGCAGGCCTACCTGCTGCATCACTAGCTGCTGCCGCCCCACCTGCTGTGGCTCCAGCTGCTGCCGTCCTAGCTGCTGTGGCTCCTGCTGTGGCTCCAGCTGCTGCCGCCCCAGCTGTGTTGTCTAGCTGCTGCCGCCCTACCTGCTGCCAGACCACCTGCTGCAAGACCACCTGCTGCCATCCCACCTGCTGTCGCCCTGTCTGTTATGGATCCTCCTGTTGTTGAACTACATTTTTCACCCCCAAGCCCTGAGTCTACTATCAGTGCATCAAGCTTGTTCTCATTCCCTTTATCCACAGCACCCCGCCCTGTTCTAATCCGTTGCTATGTTTATTAACCCCTGCCACCAAGCAACTATTTAAAAAGTAACAACTTAAACTAAATACCACACAAAACCTCCAAGCTGACGTTCAGTCAAATGACCAAATGTCTACTACTTCATGGGGAAGGTTTCACCTTTACACTGAATGTGTGCAGTAAAGTAATCATGTCTCAATAAATACTTATTTTCCTGGTACCAAAACATTTGTGGCTTTTAATTATTTTTTTAGTTTTGATTATGAATTGGAGATGAGTTTGGATATTTGTTATGGGCACAGAGAAACTGATTTTGCATATAGCCATCAAAGCCTATCTATATATATAAAAGGCTAACATGTTAAATATCCGTTCAGGTAATGATATCACATAAAACAGCCAGCTTCCTCTCCCTTGCAACAGGCCATTTAACAATAAACAGCACTGCAGACCTGGTGCCCACAAAGCAACACTTGTCTTCCCCCAAATGGGACACAGGCTGCGCCACCACCCCGGAACAACATCCCACCAAATTACAGCTGATGCTGCCGAGACCCCATAGCACTATTGCACCCAACAGCCCAGCCCAGAAATGATGGCTGTGGGAGCCAGGTAGTGACGTCACATAACAATGCCCAGCTTCCTCTCCCTAGCAACAAGTAGCTTCCTTGCAGTTTCTTCAGCCCATGAAAACAACTTGCTTTATAGCCAGGTACAAACATTTCACACTTTAACCAAATGTCCATAAATCCTCATCTCATTTGATCCTCCTAGAAGTCCTGGATTTGGTAGATAGGAGACTTAGGGGAATCCTATTTTCTTTCATTAGCCAGAAAACAGAGATTTAGAAAGCTTAGAAACTTGACCCGACTGAAAAGAAGTAAGAAATAGTAGACCTTGAAAATGACTTCAGGTTTTCTCACTGCACAGAATATAATCAAACACTGCTGCAGTTAAATAGTTTACCCTTTGTTCTCACTACATGATCTACAATACTAATTTGTTTGTGTTGACATTTACTGCTGTGTTGCCCACAATTACCTGAAAGAGAAGTTGGAGTGCTTCACTACAGAAAAAGTGTAGCTACATCAGAAAGCAGGTCTAATTAAGCAAGTTTATTTTATATATATAAAAGGCTAATTGACTCGCACATACGAGATACATATAAAGCTCTCGCTGGTGCCAATTGCATTCATGTTTCAATCTGTCATTGTTGTTCATGAATTTGGTTGACACTTCTATTATAGAGAAAGGGCAAATATGATATTAAAAATATTTCTTCTAATTAATTTCCTTTCAATGTGCATGAATTGGTGCACCGAGCCACTAGTATCAAAGAAAATGCCAAATAATGCCAGGACCGGTTTGGCTTAGAGGCTAGAGCATCGACCTGCGGACTGAAAGGTCCCGGTTTGATTCCGGGCAAGGGCATGTACCTTAGTTGCGGGCACATCCCCAGTAGGGGGTGTGCAAGAGGCAGCTGATCAATGATTCTCTCTCATCGATGTTTCTAATTTTCTATCCCTCTCTCTTCCACTCTGTGAAAAATCAATAAAATATATTATTAAAAAAAAAAAGAAAAAAAAAGAAAATGCCAAATAATTAGTCTTTCTCCAACCAGATTGCCCACATTGTCTGCCAGCAAGTTTATTGAGAGAAGATAAGAATATCTTTTTTACTAACTGAATTATGAACCATTTAGCAAGGTCCTTGTGCTATTGGGCTCCAGGAAGCTTATAAGCTGAATGAGACCCAATTCCCATCCCTCAGGTAACTCACAATGAAATCTTGGATTTAATAGAAAAATATATGTCAAGTAGAGTATGTTGGTAATATTGGTGAAAAAGAGGATTCTATTCTATTGGAGAAGATAATATATAAGGTTTGATTTCTAAAAATAAAATGTGTCAAGTCTGAAAATTGAGGGGAATGTCCAGATCACAGACACATAAAACAAGACAAAGCAAGGAGAGGAGTGAATGAAAGCATAATGTTTGTATTCTTATGTAGGCAGTCTTCATTAAAAAAGTATCAGAAAAACATTGTCTCATATGCTGCTAGCCTGTGGACTGGGAGCTATGCCATCTCCCTCCACCTGGAGTGGCTCCATTTTCCCTGATTTATACCAATACAGTGAGCTTCCAGATAAGAAAACATTTTTTAAAGGGTTTGAAAATCATTAATTGAAATAACAAATTCACATCAATATGAATAATGTGAATAAAATACTTAGAAGATGGCATAAGTGGGAAAATGTACATGAGAAATTTTATATTTGAAATATTAGTACTAAAAGGGAGGGAGAGAGAGAGGGAGGGAGACCCAAAAAGCCACTGAAGTAGAAAAATTCTTCAATTCTTCCCTGATCTATGAGTTTTGCTTATGGCTGACAATACTGTTTTGTATGCATAAAATATGTTGTGCTCTTATATTTAACACAACATAATTTTTTTAAAAAGACATATATGTTTCTGACTTCAAGGCAATAGACTAGAATTTTCAGATTTTTATATCAAGTCTGCAAGAACCTCTTTATTTCTCAAATAAAAATTGGATTGAATAGAGTCCTAGAGAATTAAGTACAAAAAAAGGTGGCAGTTTAAAATCACCCTGTAAGGGAAGAATTATTTTTAAATGGTATAGGTTGGCTAGTTAATTGGATAAAGAAAGAAGGGGAAAAAAATCAGAGATACTAAATTCATTAAACCAAAACAAACTTCAATAGAGTGAAAAACTCATTATAAAAACAAAACTGTTAAAGTTCTAAAAGAAATCAGGAGGGATTTTCAAACATAGTGTTAAAGCTTATCCTAAGCAATAAGAACAACAAAGCAACACACACACACACACACACACACACACACACCATGAAGGAAAAAATATAGCCAATTAATATAAATAAATGTGACCACAGCTGAGTCATCAGTAGGTCTGTCATAAGGATTCCTGGGTCATTCTTTTTCCCACATTCCAGGTCATTTAGAAATCTTGGCATTTTCTCCAGATTCCATAATTAGGGCTCCCTATAGTCTTCACCCCACAACAACTTGAATCTGCGTTTGTTCCCTCATCTTTCTATGGCAGAAGAAGAGGCTCAGAACCTTCCCATAAAATGCTGTGTGTGGGCTCATCACACCAGCCACACCTCCCAGCAGGGGTCCAGTCAGGAGCACACATCGTCATCATCCAGGTTGTGTCAACCTGGAAATTTGAGCCAGGGCAGAAGTGGCAAATGGCCAGGAATTTTAAAAGCAACGTAAGGAGTTTGCTTAAAATAGAAAGGGATCTTCAATCCCATTTCATCCGATTTCCTCTATCTGGATTTTTATTCCTTCTCTGTAACACCAGTTTACAATTCAAGCCCTCCACTGACTGTCTATAGAGGCAGTCATTCCATAGTCTTACTCACCATGGTGAGTCGAATTTGATTCTCTCTCTGAGACACCCACTTCCCTGATATCAGCCCTTTACAGTAAGTGGGGGGATGTCAATCCCTCACATACAGCAACCGTTCGACGAGCCGACTACAGTTTCTCACAATAAGGGGCACTGGCAGTTCAGCTCACTCTTTATATGCATTTCCCCTCTGGAGTCAGGGAAACCTGGGAAAAAAGGACAGTCACTATAAAATTGGTTTTTATATTATATTCTGCCAAATAGGCATCAGTTTCAACCTCAGGATAGTTTCTGGGTGGCCAATCCTATCTTGAGTTAATCATCTTGAGAACAGAGTCACGGACATCTCAACTTGGTTGAGAATTTTCTCGTAAAATATGGAAATGAGAAATAAAATGAGAGTCTTTTCATCAAAATATTTGGAAGCCTTAAGGTAAGGGAGGTTGAATATGCTGAAAGATAAAATCATGATGCGAAAATTTGTAGACATCAGTGCACAAGACACTAAATCCCACAGGATGTAATGTCAGAGCCTTTCTGAGACCTAGATGAGTAGTTAAGGTCTAAAGCACATGGCAGGTGAGTTGGGGAGCTCTGACTATATTTACATTTGCTGGGGGGGAGAGGAAGAACTGATTTAACGTTGTATCCCCTCTCAGCCTCTTCCCCAGGTGTACCATTATCAGGACGAGCCATGTTACTCGTGGTATCAGGTAGAAGAGACTGAGAAGTTCTGGTCTATGTATATCCACTGCAAATCTATAAGAGAGCTGGAAGCAGTTTGTAATGAAAAAGACAAACGTGTTTCACAGGCTGAACATCCACAACTACTGCTAACCAATATTGACATTATTCTCAGAATGTCAGCATCGATACAATAATAAAAGTGTCTGTTATTCAACCTTTCAAAGAGAAATCCTGCCAGCCTTAGCCGGCTTGGCTCAGAGGTGAGAGTATCAGCCTGTGGACCAAAGAGTTCCGGGTTCGATTCGGGTTCATGCAGACTCTTTCCCAGTACAGCCCTGGTCGGGGCTCATGCAGGAGATAACCAATCAATGTATTTCTTTCACATAGATGTTTCTTTCTGTCTTTCCCTCTCTCTCCATAAAATCAATGGGAAAATATCCTGGGGTGAGGATTAACAAAAAAGGACAACAACAAAAAAGATATCCTGCTATTTCTGACAGCATGGATGGACCTGGAAGACATTATGCTAAGTGAAATAAGTCAGTCACAGAAAGACAAATACTATAAGAATCCACTTACATGAGATATCATAGGAGTCAAAATTTTTCATAGAAGATAATAAAATGATGTTTTCCGGGGATGAGAGAAATGAGAAATGGGTAGTTAGTTGTTCAATGGACAGAACATTCTGGTTATACAAAAAACACACACAGACACGTTTTAGAGATGTGATGTATAATATCATGTTTTTAACATCAGCACATTATAGTGCACTTAAAACCTAGTGAAGAGGAATCTCATGCTAATGTTTCCCAACATAAAGTCTAGAAAACGGTCCCTGATTCACAGTGGGGAGAGGAAATACCCTAAGAGTCTTATTCTCATGCCAGCAATGCCCTGATTCACATTCAACACTTCTCTGCCCACCTCACCCACAACAAATGAGACATCACACTAAAATGCAGCTGTATACCACCTCCCCAACTCACCAAAAGGAATGTGGGTTATTAGAATCTTTATCACCCAAGAAGAGACATGCTATGCTATGCAAAAACACACATACATGATATAAATGCATAAGTCACGTGACAGCTTTCTTTAAGGAAGATGAAGTAAGAAAGGCACATAAGAGATGATCCTGGAAGAGCTGAAGTGAGGAATGCTAACCCACCAGGAAAAGGAAGCAACATTTTCCATCCATCTTGAAAAGGGGAGCCAGGAAAACAAACCTGGCTAATTTCATAATCACCTGTTAATGAGGACAAACAAGGACAAGGAAGAGCACAGCTTCTGATGACAGCGCCCTTAGCAGGGTATAAAAGGGGACCTGGGGCAAGTGGACTTCCAAACCTTCCAACTCACCTTCCTGAAAACTCACTCCAAACCTCCACCCTCCGACACCATGGTCAACTCCTGTGGCTCCGTCTGCTCTGACCAGGGCTGTGGCCAAGGCTGCTGCCAGGAGACCTGCTGCCGCCCCAGCTGCTGCCAGACCACCTGCTGCCGCCCCACCTGCTGCCGCCCCACCTGCTGCCGCCCCACCTGCTGTGGCTCCAGCTGCTGTGGCTCCAGCTGCTGCAGGCCTACCTGCTGCATTACTAGCTGCTGCCGCCCCACCTGCTGCCAGACCACCTGCTGCAGACCTACCTGCTGTGGCTCCTGCTGTGGTTCTAGCTGCTGCCGCCCCAGCTGCTGCGTGTCCAGCTGCTGCCGCCCCTCCTGCTGTGGCTCCAGCTGCTGTGGCTCCAGCTGCTGCAGGCCTACTTGCTGCCAGACCACCTGCTGCCGCCCTATCTGCTGCCAGACCTGCTGCCGCCCCACCTGCTGCCAGACCACTTGCTGCCGCCCCACCTGCTGCCGCCCCACCTGCTGCCAGACCACCTGCTGCCGCCCAGTCTGCTCCAGCGGTTCCTGCTGCTGACCTGTGCCACTGGTTTTCGTCAGCCCATCTTCTTGATGTAGTTTAACTGATCTGAGTCATAAGAGGCCAATTGTCAAAACTCAGTTCCAACTGATTCTTAAGCTGACTTTGGCCTCCAAATGTACTGCCTCCTCCCCTCCTTCTTGCCCCCACCCCACCATGTTACTGTCTGTCTCCCAAATGAATGCAAAGTTTAAATTTTCTCTGGAATCTTTCAACCAACATGTCATCCCAATGGATACATTTCTTCCTGGCCATCTTTTCTCATATGGAGATGTCCCTAAATCTTAAATAAATCTGAGTTTCCCGGCATACAAATACGAGAGTATCGTGTCTGATCCTGTTCCTCTTGACTTGCCATCCTTAGCTGTCAGGTGTTCTGTCCTTCTCTGCAGAGAGAGGGGGACAGCAGGTGATTTCAGGGTGCCCCCTTCATGCTGTCAGCACCCTTGTTTTAACAGAGGGAGATGGCTTCGTACAGCGAACACTTGGATCTGTCGGTCTGTGGACTTTCTCCGATGAAGGAGCCAGCTCTAGGCAGGCCGGGGTCCAAGTGTGTAGGAGCAGTGCTGGGCCAGTGATGGGTGGGTACATACTCTAGCTCTTTCCTCTCAGGTGGGGGGCAAGGAGCACCACTTTCTAGAGGTCCTTGGTGGAATAGTGTCCAACTGCTCACAGGAGTAAGCTGCTCATTCCATCATCTCACACTGGCCTCCGTCCCTTCTCCAGATCACGTCCCAGGTTCCCTACAGTGCTTTTAGGATTAGCAGACTATTTTATATGAAACTTGTGTTGGGGTCTGCCCCTGAGGGCACTCCATCTAAGATACCAGTGTTCCAATATCATTACCAGTGCCCTCAAAACAAATGAGACATCACACTAAAAGGTTACGAAAGGTTGCCATGCTGTTACAATCAAGCCCTGAATTATTATCAACTGAACCACTAAATCCTTTGCATATTTTCTGCTTCTTCCTGCCATTTTTTGCACAATATGTCTGAGAGGAATGATATCCCACAAGTAACATAGTTCGTCATGTTAGCAACTCTCATCCTAAAGGAGCCTGCTGCATTTATGGGGGATCCTTCCTCACCTGGGTGTCTTATGTTGGATTTATTAAAAGCAGAGCCTGACGCAAGGATTTTTGCACAAGTGATACATAAGGAAGTGCTTTCAGGAGAAATCAGTAAGAAATGGAGGGGAGCACGATAGGGAAGTAAAAGAAGATAAGCCAAAATGTGGTTGCCATGAAATGTTATGATCATCTGACCCCACAGATGCGGGTGTGAACAATACCACAGACCTGTCCCTCCTGGAGGCATGGTGGCTGGGCTTTGTACTACATCAGTTATCTCTAGTTCTGGACCACTCCGAGGGGAGGAGAGATGGAGAGCCACCTCCTCCTTTAGGGGAGAACAATGACCTGGAGAACAATGTCAGCTATCAGCGGTCCACACGCACTAATTTGAGGATGGGGTTCACTATGGCAAAGAGCATCCATTATTAAGTCTACCCTGGGCACTATTCAGGTCCATGAATTTTTCTCATTAAACTCACTCCAACTGATTGGTTACAATTTCTACAGAAACTTACAAGAGGAGGGTTTGTGGGCAACATCTCTGCTCTTCTGGCTGGCCTGTCTAGTGGAGGGACCAAATTCTAGTCCCTGATTCTGAGCCCTCCGTTCCTATGTTTTCAGCTGTTACTATGGCCACAGCTGTTGTGCTTGCCCCATATCTTGGAAATAGAAATTTCCAGAATGCCTTCAGGACACCACATAAATGCTAAATATTTTCCTCCTTGATGCCATTACTCTTTTCTTTGCTTGCTGATCACCTGGTACTTGAAGCTCAAAGTAATTAGGTGACAGCCATAGCTTTAATTCCAACCACAGCTTTACTGTGCCTCGTTAGCGGTAACTCTTTTCTGTTAAACCTAAGGTGTTTAGATGCACAGAGCCTACAATTATGGTGGAGGGAGGCATAAACCCTCCCAAATGGATCACTGGGGGTGAAGTAAATGGGGCAACTCCTATGGGGCAAAGTTCTGTGACAATATTCTCTAAGACAAGCTCCAACTTGAAAGAATAGACACTATTGAGCTTCTCAATATGCCTGTGTAATGTACAGTGAGACATCCTAGGGAATAGTCAGTGAGCTGGCTTTTCTGGCCTTATGACTAAATCTATTCTACCATATCCACTTCTCTGCACCTTTTGACCCCTTCCTCCTCATTTGTGTGTTATGTGGTACAAGATAAAGTAAAATGGTCATAAGTACTAAAAGGTGATGAAGGTGAACGGAATTGCAAGTAAAAGCATATATTCCCTTTTACCGACAATTAACCTTATTGTATATTTTATTTTGATATATCTATAGGTGCACAGAAAGTTATAAAAGAGTACAGCAATGTCTGCACACCCTTCACCCAATCCCCCCCACTGATCACATTCTATTTACAGTATATATCCAAACTTAGAAATTTACATTAGTACAAATCATAGATCTTGTTCAGAATTTACCAGTTTTATAAGCGTGAGTATACGTGTGCATGCATGTGTGTATGTTTCTATGCAGTACCGTCATGTGTACTGTAATTATCTGTGTAACCACCATCATAATTAAGATACAGAACTGTCCTTCTCCATAAGGCTCCATCTTTGTAGCCATACCTACTCCCTCCCACACATCATCCGACACCCCTGCCTACCACTACTCTGTTCTCCATCAATATAATTTTATTTCCAAGCATGTTCTACAAATGGAATCTTACACTGTGTAACCTCTGGTGATTGGCTTTTTATACTCAGCAGTCTTCCACTGAGATCATGCATGTTGTTCAGTGTATCAGTAGCTGTTCTATGTTATGGACACATATAGTTTGGTTTGTTCAACCATTCACCTGTGAAGGATAACCTTAACTGTTTCAAGTTCATTCAATTATTCACTCATTTTTTAATTTTTGTGGAAAAATTGCATTGAGGCTTCCTACTTGCAGGCAAACGCTATCATTTTTCAGTCACAAGACATATTATCTAATTTGAATACTATTGGCTTTAGCAAGTTTGTATCTATTTTCTTTGTCTCCTGTTCCTTATGACTTTTAAAAGTTTTATCATAAGCCTATATCTATTTTCCTCTTGGACTAAAGGGTCTTAATAATTTAGTCTTTCTTACAAAACAATCAATCTTCTGAGAATTAAAATATCACTTTTTTTTTTACAATCATCAATTTATGTCTCAATTTCTAAAAGGAAGAAAGGCTTTCCATGGGTAAATATTTGCTAGAAGAAAGAAATACAGGTTGTATTTGTCTCTGTAGCCTACTCAGTTATGTTCAAGATTTAGGAGACATAGTAAATTTGGCAATGACCCAGAAATATAAATGTAGAGAAAAATAGTTTTCCCAGTGTTTTGTAGCACTTCCCTAAGTCATAACATCACAGCAGAATTATCTTTTTTTTTTTTAAAGAATAGCTGGGTATTTTATTTTGAATCCTTTCTGCATTGGATGAGCACAAAGGGACATTGACTATATGCTATTTTAAAAATTCTAATTTTACTTAACTACTTCTGAGGACAATTATCAATTCTAAAATAAAATCATGGACATAGAAGTAAATGAAAAAAAACAGTCAATAAAAGGGGATTGAATAGTCATAAACTTATGGATTTGTAGAACTGAGAATCACATTAAAGACCCTTTAACCCAGGGATGTTCACATCGTGGGGTGTGTCACCAAATAGACTCCAGAATAGACTTAAAAGCCTATAGAAACTCAGTATAGACTAAAAATGTCTATACTATAATAACAAAAATTATGTAAGTCAGCTCATTAATTTCTGGACAAAGAAAGGAGAGAGTTAACACTTCATTAAACCAAAGCAATTTCATTTGGATGAAAAACTCAATATAAAAATTAAACTGTTAATGTACTAGAAGAAATCATGAGGAATTTTTAAACATACTTTTAAGCTTATTCTACGACACACACACACACACACACACACACACACACACACACACCATGAAGAAAAATATATACTAAATTAATATAAATAAAAATTATCTCTGCTGGTTCAGAAAGCCCTAGGCATCAGTAGGACTCACTCATCAGAGCTCCTAGGGGACAACCTTTTCCTAAAACAGGAGGTCATATGGAACTCGAGTTTTTTTCAGGCTCCATGATGAGGCTCTCCAGGGCCTCTGCCCCCACGGCAACTTAATCTCGGTTCTTGTTCCCTCATCTTTCTGTGACAGGAGAAGAGGCTCAGGACTTTTCCAATAAAATGCTGCATCTGGCTCACCAGCGTTATGACAACGCAGGCTCAGCACACCAGGCACACCTCCCAGCCGAGGTCCCATCAGGAGCCCGGGTTGTTAGCACCCGGGGATGTCCACCTAAAAATCAGAGCTAGGGCAGAAGAAGAAACTGGCCAGAAAAAAAAAAGAAAAAAAACATGAAGAGTTTGGTTTTATTCAACCTTATGGTAGAGAGGGCTCCTCAAACCCATGTCATTGAATCTCCACCACCTAGTTCTTGATTCTTCCTCTCTAAAACCAACTTAGAGTTCAAGCTCTCTACTGACTATGCTTGGAAGCAGCCATTCCATAAACCATAGTCACCATGGTGACTCAAATTTGTTTCTATGAGACACTCACTTAGGCTATATCAGTCTATTATAGGAATCTGGGGAGAGTCGATCTCTTACGTACAGCAACCATATGACCAGCTGATTGTTTAAAAAAAATGAGGGGCACTGGCAGATCATCTGTTAGCTCCTTTTATACAGTTTCCTCTTGAGTCAAGAAAAGTCAGGGATGGAGTAGGACACTTAGTTTAAATCTGTTTATTTTTGTATTATGTCCTACCAAATAGGTAATAGCTCCAACGTATAGTTTCTGGATAGCCATTCCTGTCTTGGACTAGCTATCCTGAGAACACAGCCAAGGACATCTCAATTTGGTTGAGAGTCTTCTCATAAAATATGTAAATGAGA